GCAAATGATTTATACGAGTGAACAATTACAAATCAAATGTATTCTGTTGTTGACTGTTATTGGCTTTCCCTCCTTCAAAAGAAATCCTTGTAAATTATATCCTGGAGTTTATACTTTTTATATACAAAGTCTATCCTTTACGTTATAACTTGAAAATATTTCTTTGCACTAAAGGAAACTTGTAATGACATTTTTACGGCCTCAAAATGAGTCGTTATCTAACATACTCTCATAATGATTTCAGCGCATGAAATATTATCTTTAAAAAGTAAGTTTATGATGCAGAGGTGTTTAAGGTAGCAACATAAACTCTGTTTCATATAAAAACTAGGATGTGGACGATGCCACATTGTCCCGTCTGGAGCTGGAGAGGAAGATTGAATCTCTGATGGATGAGATTGAATTCCTTAAGAAGCTCCATGATGAGGTAAGTGACGCTACCTCCTCTGCACTTTTCTGCTGTGCTCGTATATATGGAAAAGTCCTTTCTTTCTGTAGTCACCTATCACAATGTTGTGCAGGGACCTGTAATGGTAATACTCAACTTTGGCATGCACATTTTTCCCAAATGATTGTGGTAAACTAGTAATTAACTGATTGATTTTCCTGCAATGAGATCATCCCAGTGTTTAGTTGACCAACAGTGCAAGAGATGTGCTGAACTAACAAACTTCAATTGATTATCTACAGCTGATTTAAATAAACACATTATTTTATTTTATTTTTATAAAAAATTAAATGTGATTTAAATAAACACATTATTGTATTTTATTTTTATTATTGATTTAAATTATTTTATATGTAACTAGTTAATTTAGTTTTTTATATTAAATGAGTGGATGGACACCACTAGCACTTCGACAGCCTTTGACAGTTGAGCAACATGTAGAGAGCAAACACTAAAAAGGTGTCAGTTCAGATTTGTTTTGAGCATATGGGACATTAGTCTGCATTTGAAGTTGTCAATATCTGATGTGAAGATCTGTACTGGGAGCACAGGTGGCTATGTCTGCAAGGCAAGCAGTTGCTGAGGAAAATAAAAGATTATTTGAAGGTGTCATCTACATAGAAGAAGGATGAATTTCGATGTTAAGTGATTACAACAAGAGATCTTTGTGTAAAAAAAGAGTAGGGGTCCTGAAACTGAACCTCGGAAGATACTGTTGGTGAGATGCACAGGTCTCCGAAATAAATGTTACTCTTTGTGTATAAATTGTTGGCAAGCTTTTGATATATATAGTTTTGTGTTTCTGACAATATTTTAGACCATTTTTGACTATTTTTCTAAATATTGGTATTATCAGGAAATCCAGGATGTACAAGTGAGTGTCCAGACCCAGCAGTTGAAGATGGAGGTGGACAGCTCCAGGCCCGACCTAACTGGTGCTCTGAAGGAGATCAGGGCCCAGTATGAGACCATCGCCCTAAAGAACATGCAGGAATCTGAGGACTGGTACAAGTCCAAGGTAGGCAGACCGAAACAATGACAGCCACACATGAACGTACAAACACATACAGTATTCATTCTTCTGTGCTTCCCCTTTTATTCCTGCAGTTTGCCGATTTGACTGAGTCTGCAAAGCGCAACACTGATTCTCTGAGGCAGGCCAAGCAGGAGGCCAATGAGTCCAGGAGGCAGATTCAGTCTCTCAACTGTGAAGTTGATGCACTGAAGAATACGGTGAGGCCAAACACCACCTGTCCTTTGACTATATTTGTCTATAGTCTATCATTGTACACAGCACACCCTCTTATTAACTGTATATGCTACTGTGTTTTTCAGAATGAAGCTCTGCTGAGGCAGATGCGTGAAATGGAAGACCAGTTTGGCATTGAGATTGGCAACTACCAGGACAACATAGGCAGACTGGAGGATGAGATCCGCCACCTGAAGGATGAGATGGCTCGCCACCTTCGCGAGTACCAGGACCTGCTCAATGTCAAAATGGCTCTGGACATTGAGATTGCTACTTACCGTAAGCTGCTGGAGGGGGAGGAGAGCAGGTGAGGGAGAAAATACTGGGTCTCAGGTCCAAATCATTGCTGTTTTAATATGATTTGTTTTGTTTTTTTACTGTTGATTTCTCTCGATAAGATGTCAAAAGCTCACGTCATGTCAAGATGGGCAGCCTGTTGAATGTTTGTCACCTCACTGCTAAAATGTCCTAAACTCAATCCTAAACCCTTTCTGTGTGCAATTGATGTTAGTGTCCTCAAGATAATCTAGTTTTCTCACAAATTAAAAACAAATGCAAGACAGATGCATATAAATTGCTAATAGTAAACCTATTGTGAATTTTCTTGTGTTATAACTGACTTTCTGGATATTTAAGTTTTCATCTTACTAAATGTTACTGTTGTGTTTCTTATATGGTCTAGTCTTCAACCTGAGTAATTGATATGCAGGATTTGTTTATAACACCCAAATTTTACTTTCCCTGTTTAGGATTACCGTTCCCATCCTCAATTTTGGCATGAGCAATCACTTCAGTGAGCGAGGTAAGCAAATATACCAAATCTCTGGGATCACTTTTACCTTTCAATTATAGAGTTGTTAAATAGGAGGAGTCATTGGTTCGGGAAGTGGATTTCCCCATTCTGTATTCACATTACAAAATTTTCATAGAAAAACATAGAAATGCGGATCAATCGATCCAAGCCCTGAAATGCTCCAAATGGGAGTCAAGTTACACGATCTATGTGAAAAATCCATCAGATTCGTTTACTTCCAGAACCAGCAGTAACCAAAATAGCCCCTTCCACTTTCCTATCCAGCTTATTGCTGATTAATAACAACTCTTGATTATTCAACCTGTAAAGTGAATCTTACAAATCTCTATATTGTGAATGCAAATGTATCTGAAAAATCTCAGCAGCGCCTTAATCTGACTTTTCACAGACTATGAACAAGCTCCAGGCACTAAGAGGACTGTGGTGATAAAGACAGTTGAGACTAGAGATGGAGAGGTACATTGATCTATACAAATGTTACATGACAAATGTTACATAACTCACTAGCTAATTTGCATTAAGGACATTTTTAGGAATGTATTTACTTACACCATATGAATGGGAATTTCAACAAACCTGTTTCTTTTCCATCAGGTGGTGAAGGAATCCAGGAGGGAGAAGGAGAGAGACTCAAACCGCACTGATAGAAGCGACAAGGACGACAAGGACGACAAGGACGACAAGGACGAGGAGTAAATAAAAACTGATTAAAAAATGTGAAGACCACAGCCATGAGAAAAAAAAAACACATAAAAAAGGAAGAAAAACTCTGATCTATATAGTCCTCATTCCCACTAGTTATGTGTTTCATTGTCTAGCAGAGTCTCGCAGTAGGTGCAATGCTGAATGAATCCCTTTAGACCAGAGGTTTTCAAATTGGGGGCCGGGCCTCCCGAGGGGGGCTCCAAACTGTTTCAGGGGAGGCTCAGTGAATTGAAGTGAATGGTTATTACATTAACTATCAAAAAGAGATTAGACCTACATAGAATAGACTAAATGTGTGTGATTTGGTTAAAGAGATGGATCAGAGATAGTAGTTTTGGGGATTTTTACTGTTTTTCCCACTTTTCCATAGTCAGAAACCAATAAAGGCCTCAGGACAGACTTTTTAAAATTAATTTAGTGACTAAAGTTATGTCAGACCGTAATATTAGGCTATCTTGGCTCAATTGTTGAGGGTCTATAGGACTAACTAACATAATTATGATCCCATAGGAATCCATGAATTGAGCAAAACTAAGCAAGCAAACTAACAGAGGTGTGAAGGGGCTCCTTTTTCCAAGCTTGGTCTTATCCAGAGGCCCACAGTCTCAGACTTTGAAAACCCCTGCTTTAGACAGTGTCACTTTGGTGCTATTTCAGCTTCCCGATTTTTGCTAAACACTTGTGTCATCTGTAGGGCTAAGCAAAACCACTTTATTAACATACCACCTGAGGCCTTGATTTACAGTGCAATCCCGTGGAATTCTTAGACGACCACATGTTAGTAGCTGAGCATTAAACTACATACTAAAATAGGAAGTTTAAATGCAGACATGTAGTAGTTTGTGTCGTAGATAGGATGTACTAAAAAAACTTCAGACACTGCCCTTTGGTCAACACACCTTAGAAGACCGACTGAGAATAAGTTAACTTTTTTGCATTTGTTTTAGAAGCTTTGCTATCCTCTTATTGTGCAAACCAACAACTCACCAAAGACATGATAAACACGTTAGACACAGGAAATGTTGACACTGAAAATATGACAGTCACGAACTGAAAAGACTTTCGCTGAATGTGCTTTGCAATGCTGTGTGTATCTGGCACGATTGATGAATGAATATGTAAGTGCAAATAAACTTAATTGGAGCAAATCTGTGTTGTCTGTCCACAAAACTTCTTATGAATGTACCAAAAGATATTTTTACTAATTTCCTCTTTTGTATAAGCAGTGTTTTGTTGCATTCATGCCAAGGTCTCTAGTCTATAACCTGCACCATTTGTCCAAGAGCAACTTGTACTTGTAAAGCAACAGGTTTTAGAAACTAAGAGTGTTTCTTTGATGTTTCTTCTCACAATGTGAATGATGGAACTTGGTGAACACTCTACAGTGATAAAAGAAAAGTCAATAGAAAAAATTAGAAAAAAAGTACGAAGCTCAACTGACATATGCCAAGGAGGTTAATAAACAGCACCAAAGACACAGGAATATTTTTATGTTGCAGCAATATGACGCTCTCTTCCTTCAGCTGCCCTAAGTTCAACCTTCCAGGCGACACCTGGCTCAACCACTGCAAGTATATTTCGCTAAATTCTCAAAGTCTGGCACAGCCAAACGTTAATCATCCCAAACCCAAACTTACGTAATTTGCCTCAACCTGACACTGCCATTTAATTGATTTTGGTTAGTTTGTTTTTTGTCGGGTAGGTAAACCTTGGAGGGCGCTGCCTGAAATGCTCTACTCAGGGCATGGAGTTTGTCAGTGTGACGACATTCTACATCCGCTTCTTCTCGCTGGCTTGGCGCGAGACTTGTCCGACAGACAAGCAGGTTAAAACCGACTTTACTGGAAAGGCTCCTAACTTTATACGCCACAGGCTGCTGAACACGACACCTGCAGAGTAGCTTCATTTGAGCGATTCGGTGAGATAGTCCGTGTTGTCTTTCTTCCTCTGAACCAAGACTCGTTTCAGATGTTGTTAGTAAACTGAAGCTAACTGCCCCGGCTACATAACATTAGCGATATGTGGACCTCCTATGTGTTTTGATTAACGTTAGATACAGTAGCTAATATAAACCCAGGGATAGTTTTATAATATATATATTTTATAACCTTATAATAACAGTAAATCATTTTAAATTTGATATTGCTAAAAAATGTTTGTATGGCATGTTGGATAACTGACTTGAGCTATAACGCTAACCCAAGTTTGGGATCTTCAAGTGAACGCCAGGTCAACATGTTTATCTGCTTCTAAGTTTACACATCATGTGCAGGTTCACGCCCATTAACAAATATTAGTTAGAGTTGATCTGGTCCTTCAAGAATAGCACACAAAATCTGAAGTAACTACGTAGTAAACACAACTTGATGCATTGGTCTTGTGTCCTGTATGGCTGATCAGACTGAACCTTCACCTGCAGGCTGTCTGATGGTGTGTGGACTCACTCAGAATGAATTGCGAGCTTTTGGCAACGTGCAGTGCTCTTGGCTATCTGGAGGGAGAGACCTATCACAAGGAAGCTGATTGCTTAGGTGAGTGGCTTTTATATATTTGTGTACATATTTTTTATTATAATGAACAAAAGATTTCCCCTGCATCATTAGAGGGATGGGGAGTATATATAGGTTACACATTAAGAACAGGAAAACATTTGCTCTTACCCTCCTCAAACTGTCTTTGTGTTGCAGAGAGTGTGAAAGACTTAATCAGGTATTTACGCCATGAGGATGACACCCGTGATGTCCGCCAGCAGCTGGGTGCAGGTCAGATTGTACAGAATGACCTTCTCCCTATTATCATTCAACATGGACAAGACAAGGCCTTATTTGATGCCTGCATCAGGTATAAACCCTAACATGAAACTTCTCTCGAACTTGAAATGTATGCTTATAAATATATATAACATGGGCAGGACAAACTATCAAAATGTTTATATATCCTGATGTGTTTTTTAAAGTAGATTATTGATACACAAAAGGCAATATTATACTGTAGTATTGTAATACTGGTACCTGGTATTATTTTGTCTATATATAGAAATGTGTTATTTTAGCTGTAGAAGTTGGTGAATAGGAAAAACTGTTGCTCCTCTTTGCTTTTTCTCAGGCTCATGGTCAACCTCACTCAGCCTGCCATGCTTTGCTTTGGTAAAGTCCCTGATGACCCGGTGTTCAGACATCACTTCTTGCAAGTGACATCCCATTTACAAGCTTATAAAGAGGTACCATATTCTCAGTATAACAATACCATATGTAATAATATTAGTACAGTGAATATTGGTGGACAAGTTCTGCCATTACTATAACTAGTTTAAATAGTACTGCATTGTGTAATAATGAGCACTTTTTGTGTCCTCTACTTCCATTTTAAGGCATTTGCCAGTGAGAGAGTGTTTGGCATTTTAAGTGAGATATTATACAACCTTCTACAACTGGTGAGTGTTTCACTGGTAAAACAAAACATTACTTTCACCTCACCTGTTTCCTACCTTATGTCAGTGAAATGTTTCATCTGTGCGTTTGTGCTTTTGTCTGTCCTTCCTCACCGTCTTGTCTTTTCAGGACTGGGAGCAGAGACAGGAGGAGGATAACCTGCTGATAGAGAGGATCCTGCTTCTGGTCAGGAATGTGCTTCATGTACCCGCAGACCCCTGTGAAGAGAAGGTCTGGCTTTAAAATGAATGCCAATGTGTCTTTATTAGACTTGTCAGAAAGGCAAGTTATTTCCCTTACCCTTCATCTCACCTGTACTTCTTCCCCAATCTCTGTCCCTCCTGTAGAAAGTGGACGATGATGCCAGCATCCATGATCGGCTGCTGTGGGCCATTCACATGAGCGGTTTCGATGACCTGGTCAAGTTTCTGGCGTCGGCCCAGAGTGAGCAGCAGTGGAGTATGCATGTGTTGGAAATAATCTCCCTCATGTTCAGAGACCAGGTAAGACTGAAGAATCCCTCGGTGGTACACGTATGGACCTCCAGCTGTTCTGTTTTTGAGCTGTTCTCCTTTCTTTACAGACACCAGAAACTTTGGTCAGCGCCGGTCACGCTCGTTCAGCAGAAGAGAAGCAGAGGGATTCTCAGGAGCTGGAGGCGCTGAGGCAGAAGGAGCATGCAGAGAAACGTTCCCGCACATTACAACGAGGAACTAGGTACAATCAAGCTGATATACAGCCAGCATTTGTAAAACGGCCTTGCAATCATACTGCTAAATACATTTCCTTACTGTGCCTTCACAACACAAACAAGTATTTGCCTGCTAGGGAGGACAGATCTTATTTCAGTCATAAAAGGGTTGTAATTTCAACCTCTGAACACCTCAATCTGAATTACATGAGTGACTTGTTCAGTCACAAGAGTCAGTCAAGAGATGAATGAATCTTTGCCTAAAAAATGTCACGTAAAAACCCCTGCATGTTATTTACAGATGACTTTAGTTTGTGTTAGATATATAGTGACTCCTTAACCTGTATATGGCTAGTTTGACGAACTGGACTGTGTGTGTGTGTGTGTGTGTGTGTGTGTGTGTGATGTATTTCTTTCAGACACTCTCGCTTCGGCGGGTCTTATGTTGTTCAAGGCCTTAAGTCGATTGGGGACAAAGATGTGATCTATCACAGAAATGTTCATAATGTGAGTAGTAAACTCCTGCAGCTCATCTGTGATGCAAAGCAGCCTTGTTTTAGGTGTGGTGATCCTTGCAAAAGAATGGAATAATTGACAATATCTCTGGGGAATTTTTGTCTTTTTTTTAGTTCAAAAATTATACTCATGACATAGGCAAAGCAGTGAGACGTGTTCCTAAGAGGAATCGACAGGCTCAGGAATGTAAGGACAAACGCCGTTCAGCCTTAAATGTTCGACTCTTCCTGCGAGAGTTTTGTGTGGACTTCCTGGAGAACTGCTACAATCGCCTCATGTACCTTGTCAAGGTCAGCCGCTGTAACATTAATGACTTATTTTTTGTATCATAGACTGACAGAGGCAATAAAATGTGTTTTTAAATATATGTGTTTTATAATGAGCTTTGTCGAAGGAGAATTTCTGTCACTGCTTTGGCACAGTCTCTCTCTCTTTCTCTCTCTCTCTTTCTCTCTCTCTCATATATATATATATATATATATATATATATATATATATATATATATATATATATATATATATATATATATATATATATATATATATATATATATATATATATATATATATATATTAAGAATAAGAAGGGTAAAGTTAAACAAACTTTACAAGACGCTCTGGGGGATGCACTGAAAGAGTTAAAATACTTATTTTATTATTAAATTACTTTACATAAAAATCATTTTACAGTATTCATCAATTTCTATATCCATGTCTCCTCTACAGGAAAGTCTAATTCGAGAGCAAACTCAGCAACATGACGAGACGTACTACCTCTGGGCGCTCAGCTTTTTCATGGCCTTCAACCGTGGCAACGGTTTCCGTGCTGACTTGGTTTCTGAGACCATGTCCATCCGGGCTTTCCATTTTATTGAGCGCAAGATCACCGACTACTATGAGATGATGCTCACGGACCGCAAAGAGGCCACGTCCTGGTCGCGCAGGTAAGAAGGACATTAGGAATCTGGTTAATAGACAAATGTCACATCGGTGCGTTGGTCCCAGACTGATATCACTTGTCCTTTCTAGGATGCACCTAGCACTAAAGGCCTATCAGGAACTGCTGCTGACTATAAACGAGATGGACCGCTCACAGGATGACAGCATCCTTCAAAGTTCCAATGTTATTAAAAGTAAGATGCCAACAGCTCAGAGTACTTTATTAAGTGAATTTGATAATATGTGGATATGCTACTAAGACAATATTGAGTTTAAAATCTTGTTTTAAGCCTGAAAAATAAAAAAATGTTTGTATGTAATTGTAGTGCCAGTTGCCTCATCTATTTACCTTTCCTTTATAGGTAACATATTTTACCTGATGGAATACAGAGAGATTTTCCTGACCTTGCTGAGGAAGTATGATGAAACCAGACAGCCCCACTCTTACCTCAAAGACCTGGTGGAGTCAACCCATCTCTTCTTGCGCATGTTGGAACGCTTCTGCAAGGGTCGCAGAAGCTTAATGGTTCAGGTAAGTTATTGAGTTAAATGTATATTGTGTGAATTCTTGCTAATAAATACCTGCTTAAAATATTAATGTCTAGCTCCGTTACCTCCACAGAAGAAGAAGGTGAGGCGGAAAAAGTCTCGAGGTGGAAAAAAGCCGTCAGCCGCAGAAACAAGCCCAGAAGCCCTGACGGAGATCTGGAAGGTAGTAGAGGAAGAACTAAAGGCGACAGGGTTTCAGGTCAGTGTGAGACCTCAAGGGGGGAGCAGAGAGCGTTTATTGTCAGAAGGCAGAGTCTTCACTTTTCAAAGAGCCTCTCTAAAGTTGCACAGTAAGGATACTCTCTAAGGATGCTCCCTAATTTACAAAAACTAAAACCCACCTCTCTGTCTTCTGTGTGCAGTTGTCAGAGTCTTTAACTGAAAGCATTGTGCCTTTTGATGCCACTTCTGAAACTCCACTTGAGGAGCAGCGGACTGAGGCCATGGTGCGGGTTCAGGATGCCCTGCTGGTCCGACTGGGACCAGAAGCACTGGCGCTGCTGCGTGCTGCCAGGTCAGCCATACTCGACACGCCATTAACCCCTGTGCCTAATCACACAAGTTTAGGTATTAAAGGATTGACCATCTTCTTGTCGTACTCAGGGAGGTGTGGCCAGAGGGAGATGTGTTTGGTTCAGCTGATGTGGAACCTGAAGAGGAACTGGAACTCCTTAAGCAGATCCTGCATGCCAACCTGCCAAGTAAGTTTTAAAAATGCATATTTACGTGACCCTTTGTATCACAGCATCTGTGCAGCATTCAAACCTTGCATTTTAATTTTAGGGTCATCTGCTCCTGAGCCTGTGGTAGAGGAGGAGGATTTTGCAGCTGAGTTAGAAGAGGAAGAGTTTGAGTCCGTCCAGATTTCTGAAAAAGAGTTCAACTTTCTAGACTTCATCAAGAGGTGAGGAAAGGAGTTAATCACTGCCAAATAGTACTTTTGTGACCTTCTTGATGGGGCACCTTACCCTCCTCTTAACCCCTCACAGGTTTGCCAACCCCGGTATTGTGCGTCCATACCTCCTCTTATTAAAATCGTATTCGAAAAACACACCTCACACAAATCACTGCATCGCTCGAATGCTGCACCGCTTAGCTGTCGACCTCAAAATGGATGCCCTGCTTTTCCAGCTATCAATGTTCAACCTTTTCAACAAGATCCTGAGTGACCCCGCCGCAGCCGCTTACAAGGTACAGCAATGACATGAGAAAAAACATTGCTCCGTGTTAATAGCCAGCTATTGGTGATATAAGGTCAGCTGTAGATTGAACACAAGAGCTTATGTTGATTCTACCCTTCACAGGAACTGGTGACCTTTGCCAAGTATGTGCTGAACCGTTTCTTTTCACTGGCAGCAGAAAACAGCAAGGCATATGTTGAACTGCTGTTCTGGAAAAACGTAGGGTCTGTACGTGAGATGACTGAAGGCTACAGCAAAGACGGGTTGGTGCTCTCTTTTTTGTTTTTTTCTCTCTCTAGTTTTTGTTTACCATCACGCGTCATGTTAACATGACAGTTACAGGTTGAAGATTGTCATTATAAAACAAATGGCATTTACATTAATTGCAAATGAGCCTTGGCTTCTGCAAGTTGAAATATTGCATCTCGTTGTCAGAGGGGGAAAGAAACCAACATGGACTGAAGAGGAGGAAGAAGAGCTGCGCAAGCTGTACGAGGAGCACCGTCATTCTGAAGGTCTGCTTTGTTTTTGTTTGTTGCAGTTCCACACTATTGACTCAGGTCTAGATGCGTTCATTGACTGTTGGTTTTTGTGTTTAGAACCAGACATAGTGGAGGCTCTGTTGCCACTACTCAGCAACAACACTCGCACTCGACGCCAGGTAGTGACGCAGCTGGTGCATATGGGTCTGGTGGACAATGCTAAGGAACTGAAGAAACAGAAGTATGTTTTCCAGACAGGATGAGTGATTATATTAATGTTAATATACTGAGGAATATATTGCAGAATGGCTCTATACACTGCAAACCCACTTGTTAAAGGGCGCTTTTATTTTGTTTTTCTTTTACAGGAAAGGTACCCAGATTGTTCTTTGGACTGAGGAGCAGGAGGGGGAGCTGGAGATGCTCTATGAGGAGTACAAAGACTCTGACGGTACCGGACGATCGATCGATCGATAGATAGATAGATAGAAAGAAACTTAATTTATCCCATGGGAAACTGTGCAAATTTTATCGTTGTGCAGTGCATTACAGGAAAATTAAGTAGCCTTTCAATCTACGTCTGTTCTCAGTTCCAGGCCTTGTACAGCTGTAGTCTCAAGAACACTTTGTTAGTGATCATAACTGTATTTTCACAGATGTGCTGGGTAATATCCTGAAAAAGCTCACAGCCAAGCGCTCCCGTGCACGTGTGGTGGACAAGCTGCTCAGTATGGGCTTGGTGTCCGAGAGACGAGAACTTTATAAGAAGAGGAGTCGCAGTGCTCAAGGGAAGAGCTCTGGAAAAGGAATGGTAAAGTTCATTTAGACGTATCTGATCCATGTTGTTATTCTAAAAGATCAATCGTGCATTTAATACAAAAATAAGTATATATCAAAAAAACCATGTAATATACACATGTTGGGCATAGTACAACGTAATAAATTATATTTCAAGAAATGGTGCTTCGACAATAAAGGTCACTCTTTCTGCCACAGACTGAAGAAGAGTTCCTGGAAGGACTAACACAAGATTTCCCTGATGATCCTGTGGACAGAGACGATGAAGATGATGATGGGTCTGAAGAGAGTGAGGAAGAAGAAGAGCAAGAAAGAGGACTATCACAAAATGGAGGAAGGAGGAGCCAAAGCCTGCACTTCCCAGCAGAGAGGAGAGAGGATGTAGTCTCCATGGTGTATGCTGTACAACAGGAAGGTGAGACAAAGGCCAAAAGGCACTTTGTGCTCTGTGCTTTCTTTAGTTGGGTGGAGATGGAAGATGGTGAAATGTGAAATATTTAAATAATATCCGAGTCTTATTGTTAAATAAGAACAAAGAAATGTACAATAAATGTGTTGTATGTGTAAAGATGCTTGTGGTATGTGTGTTAATTCCTTGTATCTTTAAGATTACAAGAATAAAATATTCTTCCAAGATGTACTCATAAGATTGGTTTCATGCTGTTGTGTTTTTTTTATAACAGGCATGTCTGGACCCCTGTTGTGGCTTCAGAAGTGCCTGAACAGAACAGCAGAGGACCGTGAAGAAGATGGTAAGAGCAACTGTCAAAAGTATCCAAACATTAGCATGTTATGTGATCAGTGCTGTTTGGTCTGTTAATAAAATACTTGTGGTTCTTTCACCAGGTTTGTCCCAGCCTGTGCCACTTGTTCCTCTGTCAGAGGCAGATGAAGACGCCATGGAGAACAAGAGCTTCCGCAAGCTGTTGCGCAAACTGGGAATAAGACCACCTGCAAATGAACAGGTATGTTTTTGTTTTGTTTTCTGATTAGAGTCCCGTGATATGGTCTTTGTGCTTTCATTTGAGACTGTTTTGGAGGTGCAATTTTGATTGCAAAATTAATTCTTATTAATGTATTTTTATAAAAACACCTGATGGTAGAATGCTATTACAGCTGATACTTTATATTAATTTGATTTTTCACTGTTCCGTTACCAGGAGAGATTTTGGAGGATCCCAGCGAAGATCACTACATCCCAGCTCCGGAGTGCAGCTGCAGCTCTTAGTCCAACAGAGGAAGCTGCAGCTCTTAGTCCAACAGAGGAAGAACCTAAAGGAGGCGAGGAACAAGACGGCTCCAAGAGTCCAACTGGAGAATCCCAGGAAGAGGAGGAAATCTCAGGTGAACAGAGAGCTCAGGCTCTGAGAGCTCTGCTGCTCACACGCAAGAGGAAACACCACACCTCGAAGCATACCGGTATGTGTCTCTCAGCTGACAGAAGTTAATTACAGCTTTTTCACGTTGGTACGCGTTGAGTTACATGGTGCTTGCCTCTTTAATAGTATGCTTTGGCTAATCTAGCAGCCAAGAACACGGTATTGAATATTTTTAAATGTAAAAATTCTTTATGCTTCAGTTTCCTGAGAATATAACATTCATTGTAAAGAATATTTTACCTTTGTTGTGCATCTCACTCGACATAACTCATATTCCCACAAGGTTAAAAACGGAAAGTGAAAATCAGATGTACTAATAACATACCTCTGGTCAGTTTAAAACTGCAAGATGGGAAGCATCAGCAAAACTGCCACTGTTCACTTTTTAGGTGTAAAACATTAAGGATGCAGCATTTTACACCAGTTGAAATCTGCTGCTAATCAAAGATGAGTCAGATGACTTTATATTTACTTTTTTGTTGTTTTTAGTGCCCGTGTCAAATTTCACCCCTAATGAGGATACAGACAGAACAACTGAGAGGTGAGGCATCGCCCTATGTTTTTGTTGATCTGTTAAGCCAAACCACAGCTGAGAAAGTTCTATTTTTAAACTAATTCTTAATTTAACTCTGCCTCCACTCCTGTTCACATCAGGTCCCAAGAGAAGACCTCAACTAAAAGAAGCAGAAGAAGTGTGCTGGACGATGATGACCATGAGGAGAATGGTATTTTACTGTAACCAAATTAGTGTTTTAATGTGTTAGTTTAATAACTAGGCATGCAGCCAGAAATCTGGTACAACAGAAGGTTAAAAGTAGGTTTAGTTTTCCCTTCTTATTTCATGCTAAGCTTAACAACAGCTCTGACAGTGGTGATTTTGAAGCGTGACTGAACAGCAGCATTTTGGCTCACACATTACTGTCTTTACAGAGGACGACTCCACCACTGCATTGCATATGGACACCAATGGTGATGCAGATTCAGACACGGAGGACATCTCTGCTCCTGTGAAGCGTAGACGGAAGATGGTCTTAATTGATGAAGAGGAAGATGAGGATTAGAGACTCTCTTTAATGGACTGTAAAAACTGCAGACAGGGGAGACATTAAAATCCCTTACTTTGCTCAGAGGTGGATGCAGAGGGCCCTCTTGGGGGCTGCAGTGCAAACAGGGGAAACTCTATTAATGGAATACCAAACAACCCAAAGAAATAGACCCTTAGACCTGCCCCTCTGGATCCAGGGATCCTGTTAAGCAATTAAATTTAGTCATTGGTGCCTTTATGTTGTTATGATATATAAGTTCTGTCAGCCTTCTATTTTGTTAGTCATTCTTTTTCTCCCCAGCATTCGCAGCACGGACGTCATACAGATTTTGCTGTCCTAGAAAGTTACATGACTTTGTTTATAACTCAATAATTTCATCTTTGATCTGAAATCTTTACGTTTTTATATCTCATTGTTTTGATAAAATTGCATCCATACAAATACTTCTCGAATAATGACTTTTGATTTTAGAGTAGACTACTTAATAAAAAAAAAAAGCACTGTTTTCAAAAAAGTGGCTCACTGCTGGATTTTGCTTTGTGACTTTGTTGCACTGCATCGTTTTCAACACTAGAGGGTTACATGCACAGCTCTTCAGAAACCTAAGGCTGATGTCACAGGCACAGGTCTATTTATTTGAATATGTACAATATCTCATTTGAACTATGGAATATATTTTATATCCCTTAAAATGGAGTTTTTGAACAAAACGTTAATTAGCATTGTACCTCAGTAGTGACTGAGGAGCAGTTCAGTGAAAACGGGGACTGATTGAAATCTGATTCTGTACATATTTGTCTTATAAATGACATGAACTAATGTTTTTAGATTGAGCTCCCTTGAACATGGGGATCCTGTGCATGTCTGCAGTCACTGCCTATCCATGTTTTGCAGCTGTTGCGAAGGTGGTCTCTTGTCCTTACATCTGGACCATGTTAGTAACTTCCTGTCACAGTATCTGCTCTGCCCCCATCCCACAGGGCCAGAAGCAGACCTGACAATCCACAGAAACTGCTGTGAGCTATGCATGTGAGCACAGTGGTGGGTCGTTCAGAGGTATACACTTCCTCTGCACATAGATATGTCTCCATGTGTTAACCTAAACCAGGCTTGGGCAGTCTGTAGGTTTAATATAGAGGGGCGACTCATTGTTTTGTAAACCAGAACATAAAAGCAAATGCCTGGAGCCTGTATGTTAGTAACATATGCATTATACAGTCATTAAATCATGCAAACTCTCCTTTTGTTAGTGAAAATGAACACCTGATTTTTCATTTAAAAGCTGCAGAAGTGTTTGAGTTGACACATTTTATTCCTTGAGTTTTAACACACACACACACACACACATATTACTCAGTTTGAATGTGTGGGATTTTTTGAAATTCATAAGAAAAGAAACTCAGCCACAGACAGAACTGCAAAGGTTGTAAAAGGCCTGTGTAGTGTTTCTCCTGCTGTACGTCCCTTTGGGGCACAGACTGGTGCTTATGTAAATTCTCAGTGAAATGTACTTGTCTGCTGAGTTTGTCAGGGCTGGAAACAAACAACCTGATTTGTTTGTGGCATAATTTCTTTTTCCTAGAACTCGCTTGGATTGGAAGTGAGGTTTATGTCGCAACACAACAAGAGGCACATAGCTTTTAAAATGCCACCATCTAGTTTTGTGTGTGTCAGCTAGTCCATATGGGAGTATTTGAAATTTCCTTTCCCTTTGCTTTGTTTGCTTTTGTGTATTTATGGATTACACAGACCAGTCGTGATTCATACCTTTCGGAGATGAAGAGGTTGTAATGGAAAGGAGAGACTTTACTTAGACTTTACTTACTTTTCCAATAGAAGAGCATGAAAAATGAGTGTGGGGCTTGTCAACAATGACATCATTGCTTCACTATGGCAAGAGCAGAAGAATGTGCAATTGATCAACTATTTATGTTCTCGGCAATATAGCCAAACATTTGTCTGTTGCTAAATCCTCTTGGAAATGCAGTGAAAGGGGGTGATGTAGAATAATGTGCCAATAAATTATCAATCAACTGGGCAAACAACTGTGGAATTTATAAGCCACGTCACAGTAATACTCTGTACACATAGACATTTTTTTCCTGAGGAAAAGAAGCTGCCTAAAAATGATGCAAACCTTGATATAGGGTGCTGATCTCCTCAGGCCACACCTTCCCTCATTATACAAATACACCTGATATGCATAAATCCAATAAGCATTCAACTTTCTACAGCTTGGAGTTAGAAAGTATGCATAAAAATGATGATATAGTCAAAATACTCACTTGCTTAATAATTGTGCACACAGTGTGATCTGCTCAGTCCAGTCAAACCTGACAAACCAGATCATAAAATGACCTTCATAGACTGTGAAGTGGTAAGTAATGAACACCTGTGGGTGTAGTTAGTTGTTTAAATTGGCCGTGGCTAAAAATAAATAAGACCCTGTCCTTGTCTCACACACACAACCACCCTCCGGTAGACCCTGCGGTGAGAATGGAGTGCTCCTACAGTCTCAGCACTCGCAGCTGTAGCTCATTCCCTCTGCAAGTACCAGCACACTCCACAGGGTCCTGTGTCACCAGTTGTTACTCTCTGGGCACCAACCCCAAATTCCCAACCTGCCTCAGTGTGTAGCTATGAATACAAAAGCAGAACAGAATAAAATATATACAACTTGTCTGCCTTTACATTCAAACACTGGTCACAGTCGTAACTCTGTGGAGCTCATTATAGGCATTTAAGACAGTTTTATATGTTAAGTCATGTCTGTATCACTTTCTAAAGAGGCACCCTTTAAAAGGGTTTAGAATTTGTAACAAATGTATAAATGGTTAAATAAGTTAATTACTAATATGGGTCACAGGTCTCTCACTTTCTACAAGAGCACCAAAAGACAACAGCAAAAATTAGTAAGTCATCTACAAATGTTACCAGTCAATAGCAATGAGTTTTAATTGTTGTTATGGTGAACCCAAGACTCCCTGGAAAGCAGTACTAATACTGAGTGGATTATACTGGCGAAATAAAGTAAATTGAATTAAATCACTCTATAGTTGTGCAGTTTAATAACTTGTTAATAAATGGATTCTGGCTTCTGCAGCACTTTCTCACAAGGTCAGAGGTCATAGGTCCTTCTGAGACATCTGAGATAAACTAAGGAGCTACAAGGACAAGAAGTGTCCTGCTGGAGTAAGAGACAACCTGGCAACCCAAAATATGTCCTAAGTGGTATAAGTGCCTTATAAACGGTTAATAAAAGAGTTATTCATTATTAATAAAGCTATTATAACTCACAAATCCTTTAAAAACGGTGGATTTACTTAATCCTTAAAATGTGTCTTCATCATCATAGCTGCTGTAAGATAGCAAGGTTTTGCTGTGACTCCTATCAGTTCATTACTATTTATTCTATATCCAGCTGAGTGTGAAAATTAACACTACCCCCCCCCCCCCCCCCCCCCCCATGTTAACGTTAATTGCGGTATATTTAGCGAGCTCATCAACGCTGCGGCCTCATCTGTCGCTGTGCCTCCTCGCCCCTCCTCTCCCCGACCAACGGTCCAACGGACGACACTGGATGGAGATAGAGAGGGGATTACCTCAGAGGGGGGGAAAAAACTTTTTCACCTTCTTTTGTTTTTTAAGTGCAGTTTACTTCGGCGGAGAGAAGGGGAGAGGGGAGGAGTGTGAGGAAGATTTTCCAGTGAGGTGGATTTGGAGTTGTTGGTGAGGAGTCACAGACGGGAACTTCACCGGTTAGTTTGTTAAACCCGGGCCAGAGTGGAAACTAGCTAAGCCCTCCTCATATCTGTGGGCAGAGCCTGTTTCGCATTTTAAAAAGATTTGCATGAGGCAGGGAACAAAATGATTGCCGTTGTTGTCGGTTTAGTTCAGCCCTTGAGTTTAAAAAGAGCCTAGGGAAAAGTTGGGAGAAAACCGGTTTTCCCTGGTACCCTGCCGCCGCTTTTGTGTGTGAATGGTGGGGTGTTTTTCCTGGTTGACAGGGCCGATTGTCAAGGAGAAGTTAGCGTTACAGCAGCCCAACACACAGGCTCATCGGTAAGTTTTTAAATCACCTTTACTAAATAAAGTGTGTGTGTGTGTGTGTGTGTGTGTGTGTGTGTGTGTTGCAGATGTCCTCATCACTGGGCTACTCTTCGTTTTAAACCCCAAGGTGTGGTTGTCTTGTAATTCTCTGCCAGTGTACATGTGGATGCAGTTAACTCCAGTTTATCCTTGTGAACAATAGCCGCACACTTCTATACAGATGATGATTGATTGAAGTTGAGAGATTCCACCTCCTGACTGATCAGTGCCAAACAGCTGGAAATGTTTGCAATAACACGTAGCAAGCCAGGCTGCTCCCATGGCTGCACAACTTTTAAAGCATTTTGCACTTGAGGCACATCATGCAACTTATTCTTCAGCCTTTGAGGACAAATACATAATGATCCAGGATAATAAAGGCTTTATTGGTGTGCACTGAACCAAAGATTTAGACCACAATCCCCCAGTACAGTGCTTTAATCAGCACACTGGCTAACAGCTCCAGGTTTTAAGTTAGTGAAGCAGGACTTGTGCTAGTGGAAGATGGTTAGTAGCTTACAGCTCTTGGTTTGTTTTTTTGTTGGATTTAAATCCAGTCATATGTTAGGTAAACAGGTTGTTCAACAATTCTTCACTCTTAACATAACTTGTGTTTCTTTGTCTTTATATTTACCCATATATGCATAAACATTTGTATATGGAAACATCCTTAATCTTGTGATGCAAACATTTAATGTTCCTTTATGGCCCACGTAGCGTGCAAGAAAGCCCTGGCCCTGCGGTTCTGCTGTGTGATCCAGGGTGGGAGTGCCTCTTGGGGTTTTGGGCAGTTTGATGACAGCCTACAGGTCCTGTCTTTACTGGGAACTACAGTCTGTAGTTACACCCCCTCAGCGCGCACCCCCCCCTACTTGACCTACTCTGTCAGCCTGCACCAGATGGTTTTGCCCCTTTGAAAAAGTAGAGAGGAAGCCCTTCCCTGCTTTGGGGGGAAAAAGAGAAGGCAGGGAAGGAAGCACGAAGAGCAGCGGTTGATGAAAGTTAGACTGCACATGTTGTTTTGCACGGTAGCTTTTAATTAGCAGTCTTTGTCATTAGAATATGCTGACTTATCTTCAACGATTAAACACGTGTAATGAAATTAAACAAACATATTGAACAGTATACTCTGACAATGTACTGAGTGTTGTTGGGGAGAGAGTGTGCCCATTAAGAGCAGCTGACCCGCACAGCAAAGCAGGAATTCCCATTTTATGAGGAGAAGCTTTAGCTTGAAGTTTGGGTTAATTACTGTGTTTGGATCCACTTTCTTCTTTAAACACAAGCAGTCTTTCCCCCCCTCTTAAAACAACAGGGCCATAGGCTAAGGTGTATTCTTCTAATTAAGGTGTTGGCTGGCTAGCCATCTCTACATCTACAGCTTCAAACGTATGTGAGATGGCAGCATTAGTTAACTTTGTGTATTGTAGTAAGTAAAAATAAAAAACACAATTCTAACTTTTTAGTTCACATTATAAAACAAATCTCTGTGTCTAAAGCTGCCATAGAGCACTTATTTGAAGTTTAGGGAATGTCTTGTTTTACTCCCCAGCTGTTGTAACAGCTGAAAAAGATGAACTTCCTTGCTTTCTGTGCTTACTTTAAAACACAATTAAGTCATTTATTCAGTAGTATTATAAAGTGTATGTTCATGAGTATTCAATAGGATCCAATGACAGAATCATTCTTAGTATACTAAGCTTCTCCTCTGTCGTTAGTTGTTGTTGGGATGTATAGAAATTATGTAAGATCATAAACACAGTTACACAAGTAATGATTTTTTAGCAGGTTATCACAGAAGTCTTCAGAATATTTTGGATAGCTCTCCAGCTCTGTGGGGCCTCGTGCTCACGCCTCCTCCATCTGTCCATATGCACTGCACATGGACAAATCTATACTCTGAGGAGTGATTCTAAGCTAGGGCTGCTCAATTACGGCAGAAATCATAATCGTGAGAATTTTGGTCAATATTGTGATTACGACTATTTAACACAAGTATTCATTGAATTAGGAAACATCATGCATTTGTTGAACTTTTTAAAATTGAATGCGTCGTTTCAAAAAATGATTATATATCATTGCAACAAAATTCCTAAATCCCACAGCTAGGCTAATTCATGCAGTGTGAAACAGTCTTAACGAGGCTGAAGCTAATGATGTTGACTAACAAGTTATATCAGTTATAAACCACGTCATCTTGGCTCAAATTGATCTAAACGCGCCACAGCCTGGCTGAGAGCGAGTTTGGGCTTTTAGGGATGGGCGAGAACCACCGCTGTAAAGGAAAGGAGGGCGCTGTGTTTATAACGCAAGACAAAACGAGAGCATCATTGCAAATCCTGGCACAATAATAGCTTTATCTCAATTACCTTGTTTTTATAATTGTTAATTGGGAGCTGAAATCATACAAAATAAAATTAGATTAATTGCACAGACCTACTCAAAGCTTATCATTATGAATAAGAGAAGTGTTGAGGAAGAGCTGTGCTGTATAATCTGTACAAGACTTATCGCTGTGGTTAATCTAGGAGGCCGCTTTGCTTTGTACCTGTAACTTTCTCCTGTTTTAGGAAAGTGCATCTGGTGTGTTCCTATTTGATACCTCAAGGAATATTTTTAAAGTAAGGGAGAAGAAATGCAGAGGAAAATTTCAGTAGTGCCAAATGCAATGCTTTATGTCTTTGTTATTTTAATGTAGTTAAAGGGCATAAATTGAATACACCTATGGTTGTAATTGTTTTCGGCATTCAGCGCAGTCGATGTCCTCACTTCCTAAATCACTCACTAGTCTTAACTGAACCAAGACCTGAAATGGCTGATGAGCAAACCTGAGTTTGTGTTAGACTCTGAGATTGAAGGATCTGGAGACTCCTGGGTGCAAGAAAAAAACCATTGTCACATGGAAACCACATAAAAACTGACACCAGTGATTTTGAAACATCCATCCATAGGCTCCTTATAGCACTTTAAACATTGGTTATAGTTGAGACATGAGAGTGGTGTTGAGTCGGCCTGAAAAATGAAGGACGCGTGATATTTTAGGCTCGTGACATCGCTGTAGGAGGTACAATTATTGTTAAATGGCTTGCTCTAAATGATAGAGCTGCAGACATACATAGGCACTGCATGGAGGTCTGAACCACTACTGCCTTCCTACAACAAACCTTTCTACAAATTATCTCAATTCAATCAGTGTCTTACTTGATTTTACTTTGGCACTCTGTCTAAGCAACCGTGTTTCTTGTACGCCACCTCCCTGTTAAAACAAATAAAAACACAGGTTTGATAAGAGCTATACTAAGATTAAATATACTGTACATTTTATCATATCCCACTGAAATTTCCCCCAGCTCGACTTCATGTGGAGGTCCGATGGATCTTGTCGGATGTTGGCGTCTTTTTCAAGGACACTTCTGCACGATGGGTGGTTACATTTAGGTTCTTTACGCCGAACTAGTGTTCATCATCAGCATATATTATCATACACAGAGCTGTACTGTCATGCTCTCACTAACATATGGACATCAGACTCCACCACACCGCCTACTAAATGCTACTCTCTACCACAAACCCAGTAGAGCGATGCGCAGCTGCCCCTCCTTGCTGCACTCACTGTACGCTCCTTCCTCTGCTGCTGGATCACAACTCCAACTTACTGCAGTACAGAGTTAACTTGGACGTTACTATGTTAATGACCATGTGTATTTCTGATTTACAGTATGTACACGCATGCGCCGTTGACATGTGACTCTTCAAAAGACTGCTCATTGTGTTTCTGATTTTCTGTCTTTTAAGGCCTCCCTATAAGTAGCTGTTGAAGTTGAAAGACCTCTATTGTTTATACTAACGTCAGGCCTGCAGGAGATTGAGCGATTATGAGGGGGAAAGAAGTTAGATACTAATAAAATATTACAAAGTTATTGTTATTGGGGTCCGTGGCCACAGGGCAAATGATTTGTGAGAATTAAAATCTTGATCTTTTTTAAATGATCTTTATTCGGAAATAGGAGACTCAGAAATCTTACAACTGCCAGTGAGATTGTGAACAGCTTGAAGTTGGGTTGGGTGAACTGAGTCAGCTTTGGGAGGCAAATAGTTTAGCATAAAATTTACAATTTTGGAAACTGTGTTCACAGATCTGTGTTAAAAGTGAAACATCTTTTTTCTTCAGATTCTTAGGTAAAGAAAGATCCACATACACAGTGCACCATGTATTGGTACATTTCTAATTGCAATGGCTTTGGTATAAGCAGCTGATGACTGGGAAAAGGCCATGTGACACCCTGGGAAGACAGCTTCACAGAAGAATAGACCTGACTATGATTATATGAATATGAATGAGTTACATCCCAGATCTGCACAGCAAAGCCCTGTCGAGGTAGTTCCTGATCACAGTTGCCCCTAAAATGGCACAATGTAATAACACAATTGTGAATGCACCAATAAAATCTGGATTAAAAAATAAAAGGTTTAGAGCCCTCACCAGCTGCAAAATTGAAATGACAGGAATGTGACTGGGGCATGTGACAGCGGAGACGCGTGGCACCGGCAGGTATTAACTTTTGGATAAAAGGTCTGCAGAAATTTGTAACATTTTTACACCTTCATGACCAGTGCATCATTATGGTTTGAAAATGGCTGCATGGAGCAGCAGAACCAGAGTATTTGGATAAGAATTACAAAACTTCTGGGCTTTCAAAGTCTGGAAAAAAGTGTAAACTGATTATCACGTGGTGCTTTGTTCATTATGCAAGTTGTTACTACAATAATACACAATAGCAAGTATTATGTAGATCAGCCTGCGAGCCATGCAGATTACAAGCCTATTATGCGAAGCTGCCTTCCCAGCTGTCTCCTTGAATGGCCAGATTACTCTTGTCCAGTCGTTCGTATTGACAATCCTAAATTTTCTGGCAGTGCAGCGTCCTACCTAGCTGCCTTGTGTTTCCTGTTCCCAGACTCTCAGTTGAAATCTAGAGAATGGTGTTGTTGAGGTGAAGTGATGTTTCAGTGCTGATGATCCAGCATTTTTTTCTTGTGTCTGCTCCGTGTCACAAACACATGGGTAAGTTCCTGCCGAAAGCTGATGCTCCACTTCCTCATCTTCCCCCCGAGCTTCCTGCTATGGAGGGAGAGGAAGCTCAGTAGTGGCCTATATGATGTCTTGCTTAATATGACTCATGGTGAAAGCAGATGTCATTGTGATGATGAGCATAACATTTATCCATGTTTATCCACTTTTATGCTTAACACAAGATGGCATTTTAATAACCCCCGCTGCGACAGTTAGCTTAATGGTTCCTGTTGTCTGGGCTCGATCAGTCTTTCAGCTGGTTGGGGTGTTCAGCTGAAGGTGGCATGATTTATGGCCCCAGCAGAGCACAGACCCCGGTGCATCTCACATTCTTGGTAGAGTCTTCCAAGTGAAGCTGTCAAACAGCCAAGCCATAACACTGCAGGTTTTCAGCTTCTCAGCTGGCCCTGGTCGTCAAGTTGGAGGAGCACTTGCAGAATCCTTGGCTGTGATTATCACACACACCCACCCTTTCATTAAACACACCCAAATTAGCTATGTGGGGAAGTTGTAGTCAGCCCTGCCTGTTTCTAAGCAGCTGAGCACTCAAATCTGCACTACTCAGCCCCCTGTATTGTTTGTTCAAGGGGAGTATACTCCTGACTTGGGCAGGTTTTTGTTTCAAGGGAAACTTAATATTCCAATAGCTCATCTGCAGCTGATGCTTACTGTGTGTTAACACACCATCCCCACCTATTGCCTCTTAAGTAAATGCAAGTGATACTTCTGGAGGTCATTATGGGTGCTTATTGTTCTAACCATTCAAGTACAAGTAAAGAAATGTGACACTTTTCGAGCCTCTAGTAGTCAAGCTAGTCCATGCTGTAAATGAAACAGTTGCTAAACTTTTGACCTGTGGTCAGTCAGTCGGTTGACCCGCCACTTTGCTCCAGATGGAAATATATCAACAATATTTGGATGGATTTTCATTGTATTTTGTGGAGTTATGGTCCCCAAATGATGAATCTTGCTGACTTTGGTGATCCTCTGACCCTTTCCTCTAGCATCATCCCTTGGTTCACATTTTTGTTTCTGAGAGAAATATTTTGGCAACTCCTTGATGGTTTGCTGTGAAATTAAGTGCGGATATTTTAGGTACTTAGAGGACAAATAACTTTATTGATCCTCTGACTTTTCTAGCAGTATCATCAGTTCTGTTCAAAACCTGAAAAGCTAATGACATTCCCATGAGCCTCAGCTTAATGGTTAGTGCTAATTAGCAAATTGTTAGCCTGCTAAGTGGCTAAACTTGGTGATGGTGTACCAGGTAAATATTACTTTTTAGCATTGTCACTGTGAGCATGACGATGTTAGCAGCTAGCTACAGTTACGTACAGCCTCTCAGAGCTGCTAGCGTGGCTGTAGACTCCCTAGTCTAGTTGACTTGTATTGGATTAGTTGCCAGGCAACTTTTGCTAGTGGAAAATTCAGCTAGGAAGCATTATCAAGGTTTTGGGGCCTCCAGTCATGAAGATAGATAGTTCTGTGTCTAGTTAGGACCCCCCCTCCCTCCATCACTCACCAGCCCCCTGAAGGCAAATACTCGGCACCCAATTTTAAGCAAACACTTGGGACCTACCAGTCTCCTTGGTGCTCTCAGCTATCTTTATGTGGTCTCCTTTTTCGTCTGCATGGTTTCCTCTGAGGGCCACTAGAGGTCACAGCATGGGCCTCAGAGTCTTTGTCTTGCCCCATAATGGCTCTATTCTCCCACAGCGGCGAGGACTTCCAAGCCTGCTAAACATAGGACGCCATTGTGACTCACGGAGGGGTAACAGGAGGCAGACGCACAGAGGCATGGGAGTGTGTATATGGGTGTGCATGAGGAGTTTAATAAATTACTGTTAAAATGGTGAAATATTAACTAGTTAACACTAAACTGGTAAACTGGAAAATAGTTGTTTTACCTAAATAAAATGTAATAGTAGCCAAATATGATACGTGGTAAAAAGAAAATAGGAAACTGGGCTGGAAACTTGTGAAACTTATGTTAGTGTTGATGAATTATTCTCATGGTTGAACTATATTAAATAAGTTGACCACAAAACAGTAATTCAAAGTCCGGGCAGGCTAGAAGCAACAGGACGTTATTGGCAAGTTTTGTTAGTGTCCAATTACAGTAATTGCTGTCAAAATAAGTTACTGTGTAGTGTGAAAACTACAGAAGAATTACATGAGTTTAAAATATTCAGTAACATACGCAGTATCTCTGGTCTCCTACAAAACTACAAAATGGTGCCGGTTTATATTAAGGTTTCACATTTCCCAAAAGGAAAAAAGGCCCACAATTGCAAACAGCAAAAGGTCACCAAGCAGGTAAATGCTTAAGAACAGAGGCAGTCACAGAAAAGCTCTACAAATGACAGGAAGCTAGCGGGTGCAGGTGTTTCATATCCAAACCAACCAGGTGGCCTTATGCTGCATTCTTGTCATACTGGACAAGGGCAGACTGGGGCAAACATTTGACTTAAGTAAACTATCTGCTGAATAATATCTGCTGAAGTTTGTTGGCTCATTTTTAAAACATACATGTCTTTTGAAAGTACACATTGACATGTTAACAGTTTCACATTGTAACGTGAAAAAAAACCCAACTCCCATATGACTGTATCAACACCAAGGCCGATCACAGTAATGAGACCAAAGAGCGGGACAAAAGCCCATAACAATGAGTTTCCTGTGTCAGTCAGTCCATTTTCTAACCTCTTATCCTGTTCAGGGATCACATGTAGTCCTCGCTTTTTGGGCATAGGGAAGCCAGTCTATCACAAACCCACACTCATATTCACCTCTACTAGAAATTTAAAGTTTAATCTGAGTGTCTACAGACGAGCAGTAGAGGTAACCCCTACAGATATGAAGAGAATATGAGACACAAAAAACCACTAACAAACATATTCAAACCCTTCTTTCTTTGAGGCGATAGTGCTAACTGCTGAGCCGCCGTGCTGCCCTGTGTGTACTTTCACATTATCCCACAAGATTTTTAAATTGGTGTGAAGATTATAGTCTTGATTGTATACAGAGATCTCTCCTGCAGGGCTCATTTTGTTAGAAAAGTTAGATTTTATTAATGCTCTGTCTCATCTATCCAGTCTACTTTTCTTGTTATAGTCAATAAGATGTCTAACGTCTTTCCTCACATTCACTATAAAGGTATTTTTTTCCCAACCTTTACTTAGGTCATCCGTTAGATCTGCAAGTCATTTAAAGTTTTGTAAGTAGAAGTAAAAACAAGTTAGTTGCATATTATTATTATATTATAACTCAAAAGTCACTTTAGTATGTGATGTTTTTATTAGATTTATATGTATAAATATAAATATATAACCTCATTACTGCTCCCACCTCATATCATTTTACATAGATAAGATGTGCCTTTATTGGTGATGACCCAGCAGCATGCGGGAATGTATTAAAAAATTAAATAAGATAAAATAGGAATAATATACAATAAATAGACCTCTTATATACTATACATATTATCTTAATTTCAACAATTTTCATGTATCCTTTTAATACACTATATAATATAACCTACAACAAACCTCTGTAGACTTGAACTGGACACACACATTTGTGGACACATTTTTCCAAAATTTTGTCTTTCAGCGAATAAATGAGACATTGCAGTTGTTGCTGATGGAAAGCAGAAAGAGAGGGAGATAGGAACTGGAGAACTGCGAGGGACTGTAGAAGAAAAGAAAACTTTCCAACGGGCTCTCATTTTTTCCGTGTAAAGTCATTGATAGGCAGGACATACAAATTACACGGCATTGTGTCTGAGAAAAGGACACAACAACTGAGGCACACTTCAGTGTTAAAGAGAGAATAGATATCAGGAAGCGAGAGCTCCAGGTGAAGAAAGAGAGGGAGCAGGTAGACGGGGCGGAAAGAGAAAGTAAATGCAGGGCCGACTGTTCCTGACCGTTGTCTCAAGTAGAAAACGTGAGTTAGCTGTAATCGGATCTCGGCTGTGGTGAGATCATGCATGAGGCCTGCCAGCAGCCTCAGAGAGAGAAGTCCACCCATGCGCCTTTTGCCCCACTGCCGTCCTCTGTGGCTCTGTACAGGCTTGAAAGTTTAAGTATCATATATATCTTTTCAAGAGTACTAGTTGGTGCGCGTTCTAGAAATGACGAGGAAGGTGGAGGTGAAATGTAAACTACTCGAAAAAATGTTGTAGAGCATTGTTTTGCAGACAATCAGATTAAAAGGTTGGCTTCATGCCATTTTAGACATGTGCATTTAGTATATAAGCTTGTTGCTGTCCACTGAAGACCATGTATCTCCAAATAAGTGATGGGTTTTTTTTGACTAGACTGAGATTGAGCCACACACTTTATTTTTTCCTAATTCATCAACACATTTTCTCCTCTTACAGTCAACAAACCTGCTCAGATGGACTTGAGATAACGCCAGCGGAAGTTCTAACCTCGTCCCAAACTTCAGCCTCCTACATTCACCCAGAATGGCAGATCCCACTGGGCTGAGCCCCGAAGGGGCCGGGGCAGGCATAGCCGAGGTCGACGCCTGTAGTTTGGAGATAGAGAGGAAGTATGATATCATCCCTGCCGTCATCTGCTCCATGTGTTGCCTGTTTGGCATCATCTACTGTTTCTTTGGTGAGGTGATCCCTGCTGGCTCACAGACCTTGACATTATACAAGCTGTAACGTACTGTTTTTGGGATGACGTAATTCACGATCAAAATGTCACTTGTAACTGTAAACTTGTGTCCACAGTGCAGCCATTAAATATATCATATCAAATCGGGTAAAACTGTACATGTTACTGATTTCCTCTGCAACCAGGTTCTATTAGTAATACTTTATATTTATAAAATGAAAAATAGTAATTGCTTATTCACTGATCTTTCCAACTCCTAACTCCTAATTCTGCATTTTATCTCCCCTGTCTTCTAGGTTACCGCTGTTTCAAGGCTGTCATGTTCCTGTCTGGTCTGATGTTTGGCTCCATCATCATCTTCTTGCTGTGCCACAAGGAGCACGTGCTGGACACCCAACTGAGCGTGGAGGCCAGCGCGGGTATCGGGCTCGGCATTGGCCTGCTGTGCGGTCTGGTCACCATGCTGGTGCGCAGCGTCGGCCTCTTCATGACCGGCCTGCTGCTGGGCTTCCTCTTGGCTCTCGCCGCCCTGCTGGTAACTCACCAGTTCTACACTCCGACCACAGTCTGGGTCCCACTGGGTGCACTTCTGGGAACAGGCATGCTGTTTGCCGTGCTGACCCTGCAGTGGCAAAAGCTCTTCACCATGCTCTCCACGGCTGTGTTCGGGGCAGCTATCATGACAGTGTGTGCCGATTTTTTTGTGGAGATGCTGGCTTTGGCCAAGTATGTGTATGAATGCTTGCGCCTCACACCTGGGCCACCTCTCTGCTGGTACAGCTGGGTCATTCTGGGCATCTGGCCCGCCCTCAGCCTCATAGGAGTGCTGGTCCAGTGGAAACTGACCGATGACAGCTTCTCACACACTGAGGGTAAGGAGGAGATATCGTGACACTTTGAGGTTGGCTGTAGGGGTGGGTAATAATTTCACTTAAGAATCCTCTTAAGCAGTGGTTCTCAAACTTTTTTTTACATCACCGACCCCAATACTGACACAAAACAGACAACAAACCCCTTTTTGTTTAGCTTTTGTCCCGGAGTCCCCCATCTGAATGCATTTTTGCTTTTAGATGTTTTATTACTGAAAGTGTTCTGCAACGGGCTTCGAGGTATGTTTGCTCCTATTTGCTGGGCATGTCTCAGGTGTTACCCAATCAGCTGTGTAAACGTTTTGCTACGTTTTGTCTGCGCTGAACTCGCCCTTGGTGACTCTCAAGTGATCACATGATTAATCGTGTGCTCAGATCAGGAACAGCCAATCAGAGATCATCTGACCATTTCCTCATTCTTGTTCAAAAAAAATCTTTACATTTTCACAGTGACCAAAAGATTATGTGATTTTGGATTTTTTTTGTGAAATCCTTAGCATCTCCACTAGCAATGAATATGTGGCATTAACACCAATCTAATAAACATACATATAGGGAAACAAAAACAAATCAGGAGATATGTTCTGCTGCTGAGAAAACATGTAATAGGGACAATTTAATACCACATAGAACATGAATTTGCATTGAAAGTGATTGCAAACAAAATTGCTTATTTTAAACCCGGATATATGAAAATAAATATAAACAAAGGAAAAAGAAAAGATGGGGTTATGTCCTAGTAAATGTTCAAATCAAGTGCAAATAAAGGTCTAAAATGATTTTATGTTGAATATAAGGTTTTATTCATCATGACCACTTAAGACACCTCCTCTGCTCTCTTAAATTTAAGAGCATTTTTAGGTCTTAAGAAATCTGATAAAAATCTTTGATTTTTACGTTTGCTAGAAAAAGTGATAGATAATGATTTATTAAGTCCAAACAGTTTGATTAATATGATCCCAGATGTTTTAAGTTTATATTTTACAAACACACAGTGACTGTGATGAGAGTGGTGATGAAGTGATGTTAAAAAGCTGCCTCTGAATCTCCCTTTCTCCTCACAGTCGTTATCAGTCGGAGACAGAAGAGAGTCCAGCTGATGCGGATTCGGGAGAAGGACGCCAAGAAGCGACAGCAGGCAGGTGGGCAGGAAGGCACGTACCGCCGTAAACCCACCCCAGTGAAACGTTACGCTGGGGATCTACTGGCACCGGTCAGTGTCACCCAACATGGCGTGTGCCGTAGATACCGATACTGATTCTGATGTCATAAAATCCTTGTCAAGTTGAGTGCACGTAAACTCATCTCTCCCATCTCCCTGTGTTGTTCTTCTCAGAGCTACCTGCAAAGTCTGCGGGACAGACAGATGGGCACAGGCACTTCCCTTAGCAGCCTGGGCACCGCCAACCACACTATGGTCGACTTGGACTATGAGACCGGGTCCACTGCACCCCTTACAGCTACAACCCCAGTCGTCAGAGTCTGAGCAAAACCATGATAAGAAGGGACTACTTAGTGCTCTCTGGTACTCCTACTGTGCCTCCCTAACGTAGAGTAGAACCAATAAACCGCTCCCCATCAGCTAAGGGTTTATTCTGCAGGATTGATCAGTCCTGGGTGATCAGTAAAAGAGAATGCTGCTTTTTGGGGTGAAGTGAGAGGAGTGAGGCTCCTGTCTGATGAAAGCTATAACCACTGCAACCACTGTGTTTCTCAGAGAAACACTTAAAAACAGATACTAACAAAGTAAAGTCCTCCATTTCCTCTCATCGTGTATTAAATACATAAACAGCAAGTACGAGCCTCAAACAGATGTATTTCTATGACAAAGCAATTTGTTTGACATTTCATGTACTATACTTAAAAAGTTAGTCATTGCCGTGAAGTGTTGTGTTATTACCCGTCGTACTGTTTAACCGTGTGGTCGTAGGATTTGTCAAAGTTTATCATTAAAATGAGATTTCATTTTGTGTATTTTTTTTTTGTTTTAGATGGAGTGTGTTGAGAGAGTAAAACAAAGTGAAGCAAAAACCGAATGATGCAAATAACAGTTAACAGTTTGTATTTTCAAAGCTCTTTGCATGAGCTTTGAACAGGATCTTTTTCAGCAGGACTCTTAATTCTGTGACATTTTGTGTTTTTAGACTGTATGCTTGTGGAGTAAACGTTTTATAACTTAATTTATATAATGAAGTATGTGGTAGTGTTGAGAAAAAAAGGACAAAAAAAACAAAGCATGTTTGTCGTTAATTTGTAGATTTTTAAATAATTACCTTGTTGTTTGAATTTTGCGGGGACAACGCACTTGTTACCTGAATCTGTACATACCTGTTGATAGAAATCTCAAAGCTAAATAAATTTGTTTGATACAAAGTTTTCGCTCATTGGTTGAATCACATTAATTGCATTGTTTGTCTCTTCAGGCTCCTAGCAACACTGGCAGAATTAGTCGCCAGATTTTTCATGGGCAAGAAAGAGGTCATAGGGAGGATTTCCTACTGGTTGGGGTTGCCATGGCGCTTCCAACGTTTTGTTTTTGTTTGTTTTTTTTGCAGACAACACAATGCAGGACAAACTGGCCTTTCATCATAGTGAACACTCAATGTATTTTTTATCCTTTTTGTGGGAATGCTGAGCCACTTTTCTGGTGACTAGAAATTACAATCAGAAAAATAAAATAAAATAAAAAATACATTGTTTAATTGTAGAAAACGTAACATTTAATTTCTTTAAAAAAAAAAATCATGACAGATTTAGGTCACATGGCGTCTCACAGAACAGTGTGATTCATGAAATAAGGAACATTTAAGAGCACTGAACATACTTAAACAAAATCTCTCAACAGAGTGCACACTCCCAAATCTCACTGAAAGTATTAAGACACATAATCCAACACATATGTTAGAGAGAAGAGCAGAAAGCCTCCCCTTGATTTCTTCCTGAGCTCATGCAAAATCTTACGTAATTTTCTCTGTCACAAAACACACGTTTGTGCTCAAGAACTCAAGTCTCACAAAATCCAGCCTGCTTCGTAGGGCGTGAGTAGATTAGTTACAATCTGATCCAGTGAAATAAAAATCCAATCCCCATACTAGCTTTTTGTTTTTAAAATGGTAGATGAGAAACCACAATCAAGCACTGCTGTTGAGGTTGCATGGTTGTCAATGCCCCTGGAGTGAAACCAGCACCCCTGCAGTAGACCTCTTGGTACCTGCTGCCCCCTGATGGTCGACCATTAGCATCGCATCCAGCGCTCCTTAGTTCCCAGTGGGTATCCTCTGTCGACTCTCAGCTGCTCATTTACGCGCCAGTACTCATTTCCCTTGAAGAAGAAGATTTTGCCATTGGTCCAAGTTAAGGCTGCATCCGGACTGGAGGGCACTCCGGAGAAGAGCACAGAGAGCGGCTTGGGGTAGAGAGTTAAGTCGGTATACTTCAGCTCATCCCACTGCCAGTGCTCTGAGCCCTACACAGGCAGACAGCACAGAGATGGGATATAAAAATTGAGGATTTCTACAAGAAGAATGATAAATATAGACGCAGTTACGTGTTTTGATCATACCTTGATAAAGACCAGCTTCTTGTTCTTCTCCAGGTACAAGGCTGCATCAATATTAGGAGGGATCCGTTTGACCTTTTTGGGGTAGCCGTAGTCCAGCATGAACATGGTATACTTCCACACTTTATTGTCTGTGACCAGAAACAGCACAAAACATTTTCCTAAGTTTCGGACTCGACAGTTGGAGAACAGACACATGACACAATATTGGACAACAACTGCACCTTTAAAAAAGTATGTCTTGTTGGTTCTTTGAGAGTGCACAGCAGCGTTCAGGTTTCCAGGGAGTTCCCTCCACAGCCTGTCAATCTTCATTGGTGTGTTGTGTCCCAGATCCGAGATCGTCCACACGTAGTCACCACTGAAAGCAAAGGTTTTCCTCCATGGACCTGGTGAAACAAACAGTAGCACATCCTGTGATTCTGCTGTTGTCCTAAACAAAAGTCTTTGTATGATGGTGCAGCAAGTATTCATTTGTTGATGCCCGTCCCCTTGCCCTCACACATACAGGAGGTGGAAAAAATAATGTAAACCTGTCTTGAAAATGGACTTGAAGTAAACAAATCACCATTGCAAAACTGTGACTGTCACAGATGATTTGATTTACCTAGCATGATGGCATCCAGTGTGGCAGTGCAGGGGTCAGGGACGTTCTCAGTGTCATGGCTGCTCTTTGTGGGAAACAGACTGTCTGAAGTTGTGGGACTGGCTAAAGTGCTGGTGATGCGTTTGCCTGTAAAAACAGGGAAGTTACAAGTTTTAGAATGAATGCATTCTTTCATTATTTTGACCTTTGCAAACGACATGAATGATCTTTCATTTTATGACTTTAAATACTCAGACTTTTACACTGATATGGGTTAATGAGATACACAAGTGAATCTAAAGACATCTAACTAGGGTGTCTCAGACCTCTCAAAAGAACAGTTGTTGATCAGCAGACATATTGATAAACATTACCTTATTTTGAAATGAGTAAAAAACAGCCCATAATACAGAATAATAATATACATTGGTTGCTGAAAGCACCAATGCAGGATTTTTGTAGCTGATACCAATATTAATATTTGAGTTATACAAATTGTAAAAAATGTTTGACCAAGATAAATATATATGAGGTATTTTAATGTTGATAAATAAATGTGATGGCATCACTGTTTATCATGGGCATATCTGTACTGCAATTCCTTGATACGTATCAATCAACATACATATATCAGTGATAGCGATATATATGAAATAAGCTAATATCGGCGCCAAGATTGATCTGTCGCAAACGGGACTGGTATCATTCCCCAGACCACTCTCTTCAGAGAACATGAAACCTCTACAGTGTTTCTCAGATGGTAATGAGATTAACAATGCATCTGTTATTATATCTGCAGTTGCATGAAGAGACCACATGAAGTGTGAGGTCTAGTCACAGGTACTGATTCATGTAAATTCACCATCAATACCAAGTTGAGAGCTCTGATGCAGTCCAGTAGGCCATCTTGATGCACTCACCGTATAACGCCTGGATGCCTCTGATATCATCTGTGTGCAGCCTGAAGTTGGCACGGTAGCCAGAGTAGACCGGAGCCATCAGAGCGCTTCTGAACTGAGAATGACCCAGGCCGAGGGCGTGGCCGATTTCATGTGCAGCTACAATACGCAGATTAGTACCATAATATGTTCCCTCAGTCCAGAACTCATCCTCATCAAAGTGGACAATGCCAGATTCTGGTGACTCAGCGTGGGCCAGTACATGACCTGCAGGTGGTACAAATGAACAGTTTTAGGGGACAGCAGGCCCAATAGTAAAAAAATTAAGTGTTTTACAGTGAAAACATACATTTAAAGAAAAATACTAACCACGGCCATCAAATGGGACAGAACAGTAGCCGTCGTTCTTATGGAAGGAGATCTTTATGTCTGCTCTGCCATAGTGGATCTCTCTGAAGGCCAAAGCAGCCACGTCACTCCAGTAGTTGAAGGCAGAGCGGATAGCCATCTTCACATTTGTCTTCTTCATGTCAGGTGTGTAGTTGTAGATGCGATAGGTCAGACTCCTCTTTCTCCAATGACCTGTAAAAGAGGAATCCAACACAACAAAACGGTCTATATCACTAAAAGTCTCACAGTTTTTTGAAAAACAGTGTGGATTTTGACCCCCCATCATTTGATGTTTTAGTGCCAGTATGAACAGGAGGAATGATTACAGCAAGAAAAAACCCTGTTTTAATCTTCACATGGGCACCTGACTATTGTTGTAAACCAGACTTGACAGACTTTTATCGATGCATGGTCTCTAACTGAGTTTTGTGATTTCTGACCTTTAAAATCTTTTCCAGCTCTCCATAAACAGTGGAAACTCAACAATGAAGACGTATTCAGTCAGTCAGTCAGCTCAGAAAAGACTTTATTTTGTAGTTCCTAGTTTCCTAGCTGTTTTGTTTATCATTGTCACATAGCAAGGATAACATCTAATGATTTTCTATTTTATAATACACTTTAAATAAGGCTCTTAACACTGCTACTAAAGTGGAACATTTCATTAGTTCCTCGAATACGGGTTAAAATGGAGAGGATGAAAGTTGCTGCTTTTAGAGATCCAACCATTTCTCCTAAGCTTTAAAGGTCTCTAAAAGACTAAAAATTGATAGAACGTGAAGACCTATCAGATATATATAGGTTGCTGATCCAGACCTTGAAATCAAGATTTTCTCCTTACGCACCCATCACTCTGTACTTGTGAAACTTCTTGTTGAAGGGGTCCTCCATGCCACAGCGCGGCTGTCTCATCACCTCCAGAGTAGCTTCGTCTAATTCTCCAGTAGTTGGCAGGTCATTCACCCTCTGGAAAACCCTGGAGACAAAACAAACACAGCACACTGATTTGGCAATGCAAGGAGGGCAGCTCACACCCTCCCCCACTGTAATAGACCCTCATACAAATCTAACATGTGCTATAACATTAACTTATTGTCATTAGCTACCTGTTTTTTCCCTTGAAAGTGCAATAGTCTATTTTACCTGAGCGCTTCAATGATCTCCTCTAGGTAATGAGGGTCCTGTGGGTCAGCGGGGTCATTCAGGTAGCCATACTGCCTCAAATAGGCCTGTGAATGCAGAGACAGACAATAGAGCTCTCATGCACTTAAAAGAACAATTATTTACTGTACACTATATATACCTGCTGTTGAAATAAGTCAAAAGCATCTTGCATGTATACACGTTTAAACAAATTACAGAGCAAACTATGTCTCACCTTTGCTTCATTTAATTCTTTCCATTGCACCACGGCACAAATTGCTCCACTGAGGTTGAGCAGCAGCAGCAGCAGCACCGTGTAGTCCATATTCAAGTTTAACATCAAGAGTTTCTGTCCCAAATATCCAGGGCCGATGTTCGGAGAAGTGCTCAGCGGAGTCCCTCCCTCAACAGACTCTGTTTGTTCTGTGAGCGCTCCAGCAGTTTTTAAACCAGCCCAGAGTATGAGTCAGCCCTGTGGCTATGATGATCCATCTCTTAAGAATGAGCATTACAAGAGCAGCCAGTTGACCTCAAGCCAACACGTCTGCTGTTAAATTGTACAGCTGTTTAGAAGAGGACGTGGAGCTCCAGAAGTGGTCGACACACTTGACTAATTTATAGGGTCAAGCTGCTGTTTAACACTCTGTCAAGAGGTAGTTCAACCTGAGCATAACTATCATGACAACACGCCCATATTATTCCTTCAGGGTCACTGCTTTTCTGTTGGTTCCCTGGTGTTAGCACAGTTCTGTATGTCCTACGTATCACAGTTTAATTATAGGCCCAACCCACAGAATGTGCACTCCATCTCCACATTCCTGTCGTCCCCACACCTTCCTGACACGAATATTTACGAATGTTTACTACTCAAACACAAATTGATCTGTTACTGGACCCATCCATGCTGAGAGGTAACAAAAGATGGATCAGATATAGGTTTGGTATGCCATTACATGTTGTGTAAAACAAATGTGATCTGAAGGGTTTTAAGGCATCAATCCATGTTTCAAATGCAAACAAAATTGTCAGCCAACCACCAACATAAAAAACACAGTTTTGTGATGTCACTCCATAAATTGATTGATTTACGTTTACATTTGTTCATTTAGCTGACGCTTTTATCCAAACCAACTTACAATTGCTATATATGTCAGAGGTCCTCTGGAGCAACTAGGAGTTGAATGTCTTGCTCAGGGACACAATGGTGGATGGGTCACAGTGGGGGATTGAACCCAGGTCTCTCACACCAAAGGCATGTGTCTTATAATGATGATTGATGAGTCTTTTACAACATTAGACCACAAAATAATCTAAGACATTAACTGCTGTTTAGAAACACATCAGCAAAACATGCTAATAATCTTAAATGTAATTAGTTCATGAACAAACAAAATGCTTGTATGTGGAATAATAGTGTCAAAGTCAATTTGGTACTGTAGAGTCGCTCTCAGGGAACCAACAGAGAATCATGACCTGACTCTTTTCAGCCTCTTTAAGCTCTTTGTATTATTTATAAATATCATTTTTTAAAACATGTTAGCCATTATAACTTCATATGTGAGGACTGTCTTTGTCAGGTTGTTGTGAAGTTCTACTGCCACCTAATGGCCAAAACCTTATTAATGGAGCTTTAAGTTTGCTATAAATGTAAATATACATTATATGCTTAAAATAGACGGGGCTTTATAAATGTATATTTCTTTCTGAGTTGACATTCTAATGATTCAAAACTTGTTAGGCTTTATACAAGCTACAATATAAAATAATTATAACCGAACAATGATGCTAGTGGGTCCATGCTTTTAATTTGGGTGTTTAAGTATTATATACCCTTTTGTTTTTAAATAATTAATTCAAAGAGGAAAGAAGCAAATGTCTGATGCATTTGGTGTAACTTTGTCAGAAATTTTGTTACTATTTCTGTTTTGGCCTTCTCAGCCAAATTTACTTCCTGCTTGTTTCAGTTCATCCGAGCACAGCAACTATTAATTTGTATTTTTAAATTTAGGTTGGTTTGTTGTTGTTGTGTTGAAGTGTAAAAGTCTACAGAAGGTTGATGTTGTCGTGTGAAAGTCTCGCACTGGGTAGACTTCAAAACTTTATTTTTACAGTGTGTATAGAACTGGTATAAATGCTACGGTAGCATAGGCCGACAAAACAGCTGGTCTCAAGATGTGAGAGCATAGTGGATGGCTGGCATCGTACCTCAGAGACTTTAGCCTGAGACAACACACTAACAATAAAGCTTTGTCTTTGTACGGCAACAGTGTCTGATGGGCTGTAGACAAATCCCTAGCGACAATAGGTGTTATCAGGCCTTAGGATTTATTTACAAATTGGCATTAAGATAAGAATTATTCATACCGGGACTTAAGTAATGCTTTTTCTTGTATATTCCTTTGATCATCGTCACAGAAAGTCTTCTTAACAGCTATGTTCAACCAGTCCACATGCTGCACATTCCTCACTGTATCACAACTTACCACATGGAGAAATTAAACCAAAGCTTTAGTGCACTTGTGTCACATTGGTGGTAAATGCAAACATGTCTCTGTGTTTGCTGACCTACAGAGGAGTAAATCTAAGAGTCAGCTTTGTTTGTCTGCTTCCTAGTTACTGCATATGTCACTCATTAATCATTAATATGGACAATGAAAAGAAAAGGAACAGAAAGAAGGAACGAGATAAATGTGTGAATTCTATGGGCTATTCTGGATAAGGCTGAAACCAGCTGTCTGAATCTAAAACACCACACAGCAGCATTACACTGTATATGTTTGATCCAAGCAAGGGTGAACAGGATCATTTAGACCAAATGTTCTACATGCTCTGGTACCACAAATGTTGTTTGGAAGCCATTTCTTAAGTCTCTGTCACTTATCCTAAGACTGTGAGTAGTGCATGGTTGTACTCCACTGCACACATACTCATAGCAGCGTCAAGTCTCTGAAACCAACAGAATACATTAGTTCTCACAGCCTGGGTCAACTGCAGAGCCATAAAAATGTGTTTCCTTTATCTGTTCCACGCAAATCTGCTTACCGCCGTTTTAGTCATTTATGACTCAGAAACAGATCAGAGTGAATAGTTTATAACAAACATGATTGCCAAACAACGTACCCCGCTGGGTCAGTCGCCTCAGGATACTAATAAACAACGGCATTTATCGTGCATGGAGACTCATGGAATATATCTGCTTTTGTTGTATAAAAAAACTTCTGTTTACTTCTACTTCTTTCAGTCAGAGAAAACAACGTGCAGCAGAACATCTTCATAATGTTCAGGGCAAAATGCGTCACCATGACAACACCATGACTCCCAGTTCACATGTCCATGAAGAAATCACACACATTATGGACTGACTTAAACACAGGAGAATTAAGTGTAGTTTTGGACTAATAACTACTCAAATTATTGCGGATTAGATTATATCTTTAATCAAATTTTCTATTGCATTCTGTTACATCTGCAATCATTGTTTGTGCTGACATGACAAATCATCTTTTACATTAACGTTTCCTCCCTTCTTTCACTTGTTCACCTTCCTGCCAGCTGAAACATCTTTTTTTTCAGGCTGCGGTCTGAGACACTTCATTTCCTGTTTCCTCTATTACCACATTGAGGAATCACTAAGTAAAAGTAGCAGCAGAATATATCTTGAAGCCACCTGGCAAGTTTTACAATTTGAATAAAAGCCAAAATAACAAAATCCAGGAGAGGACCCAAGATTTTGGTGCATTAACTAATCAAATATGGTGAAAAATATTTTAATCTTACATTAAATTATTTGAGATTTTAGAGCTGTACTCAAACACATTACCAGTGTTCATCTGTTCATTTAAAACTAACTTCACCTTTCAAACAAACAAAATGTATCACCAACATTTGAGAGCAATGTCACCTTTTAGGTTACCTAATTTCTACTGTGAGGTTTTGAATATCCGCTGTAAGTGGCTGGGGCTGCAGATATGGTAAAAAAACAAAACAGAATGTCATTATTTTGACAGATATTACAATTTGTGATATGATTCACAATTATTGGGAATGATTAGTGCAATTTCTGGTGAAATTGCAGTGTGAAGGCTGGCTGTTGAAGGCTGAACTGGATTGCTAACCTTAAACTTTGTATCATTTTGAATGATTCAGAGTTTTCAAAAGTAAATTTCTGGGTTACAGCCCCAGAATGCAAGCTCTCATTTCAGCCTGAAACGAGCTGTAGATGCTCTTGTCTCTTTGTGTGTGTGTGTGTTAGTTGGAGTACCAGGTAGTACTAATAGTAATTAGTGCAGTAGTAGTGGTTGTAGTAGAAGATGCAGTACTCTGGATGTAGTACACTTAACTTCATTCAAGAAATAACTTAACGTCTGTCCACCAATCGGAACACAGGACCGTGTGTGTGTGTGTGTGTGTGTGTGTGTGTGTGTGTGTGTGTGTGTGTGTGTGTGTGTGTGTGTGTGTGTGTGTATCTCCCTTTGATCTCTCGCTTATTAACATCACCTGGGCAACCAGCTATCCTATATAGACAGATAGGAAACTCTCTCTGAGACTTTGCCTCAAACAAACCTCCCCAGAGACTAAACTATAGGTCGTATCGACGAAATGACTTGACTGGGAGGGCAGAAGGCTTTTTTTTTTTTTTGGATAAAGTTGAAAAAATTGGTACGTTCTGCTCTGGTCAAGAAAATTTCAGGAGAACTTGCTATGGCAGCCAATCGAGAATTTTCTCTTGAGTATTACTCTTGTCCTTTGGAAGGACACGATAAATAAGATAAATCTATAAATCCGAGGGATTTAAAAAGCCCATGTGAGGAACCACAACAAAATTTACTACGTTTCTGGTGTCAAATTATGCATGAAGAGTTAAAATTGTGGTCAAGCCAACGAATTCTAAGAGAAAAATCTAAGAAGATTTTCTGAGGCTGCTACACTGTAGTGATGATGTCACCCACTCTAACTCACGCAATACACACCCATTATAAACTCAGAAAAGAGCACAAAAAAGCATAAAACTTCGACAGCGACCGTGAACAAACCATAAAATATATCAAAAAGCTGAATGCATCATTAATAGATTAACTTCTTGTGACCAATTTACAGTTTAAATTAAGTCTGTAGCTGAAAGTATGCTTTCAAAGTGGAGTAGGTATGAGGAGGATTTCAACAGTCTCTCCATTCACTTACAATGGGATAATTTTCCTGGAAAACCTTGAATATTTTGAAAAGTATTCAAGGTATCAATGACAAAAGTAATAGCACCCCATTCCTCATTGAGACGGACAACTTGGAGTTTGAACGGAGTTTCTACGTCAAAAACTGTGGGACTAGTTAGCGCACAAAAAAATGTGATGGAAGAATAATAAAGGTTAGTAATAAAATAGGATGCGAATGCTTGCAGCATTCATACCCAACAACGATCAATGACATCTGTTGGGGTCTGTACCAAACATGCTTTCTTATCTGGAGAACAGGACGTGTAGGCCGGGCATCGCTGCCACACTTACTGCCTGCCCTTATAATGCTGTTTTATCACATATCACATGCTACAAGGAATTGAAATTGTGACCCTACAGGCTACGTTGGAGCTCAAAACAGCAGTAGTTAAACAGTAAATGGTTCATACTTGATTTCTCTTTTGAAAATATTTAAGTCAGTCTGCTCCAACAGTAAAAAAAAATACAAAAAAAATATATTGTGTTTTGAATTAATACATTGAAAAGCTGGATGAGATATAGAGATATTAAACTTTTTACAATTAGTAATATTCTTAATAAATGTCCTTATTAAAACCCTTTAAAGAAAAACAATCTGTGATGAAATGAATTTGTCTTTCATCAACTGTAAAAACTTGTGACTGCCAGCCAGGATCTCCAGCTGACCTGAATAAGTCAACATGTTAAATGAGTGGAAAAAACGTAAGAACTGCACATTTCTTTGAATAAGAAAAAATAAATACAGCTGACTATTTTTTATTTCCGCAAACAAAACAAGAGCTAATCAAAGATTTGCTGTACAGCACTGACACTTCACAAGTTTTTAGCAGAAAAACATCAGTGTAAAATTAGAGCTCTTTATTCACCATCTTCAACAATAAGGTTCATTTTCCACAGACAGTGCAATGTAAGTGCTGATCACAGGGCTATTTGGCTTGACAGGAATTCAGCAACTTTGACAGATTCAACTGGCCATATGACTTCAATGAATCAACATTAATATGACTAAAAATCTCAATGAGTCAGACTTCTGCATTGTGCAGTAGTGTTGCGACAGAAACACGGCTAACTCTAGCTACATTTATCTCTATAGTGAGGTGTGGTACGTCATATCAAACAGGTGGGGTCACAGGTCACCTCCGATTTGCAGACTAAAAACAAGAATAGATAATCTAAACCACTGACAGCTGCTCCCAATTATTTTCCTTGAAGTTCCTCAAACGTCTCCTAGAAAAGGTTATTAATCAGCATCGTGTGCATAGCTGCACATAAACAAATGCTCACAATGTTTTAAATGTTTCAACTTGATTCCAGTCTTAGTAAGTTGTTCTCTCTAAAGTGAACAGTCAAAACATTTCATATTATCTAAAATTAAGATTTTCAATGATGATGAATTTAAGGGTAATTGTGTGTACATCTTCAGCATTAAGAATGTCAGTGCTGTCTGCAAAAATAAATTCTTCTTTTCTTCTACAACCACTCAGAATTAACTGAATCTTGTGTTCACTTTGGACCAAAGTGTAAGGGAATCAACACTTGAAAATAGCTGCACATGTTTTGGTATAGTCATTTACAGCCTTTAGATTTGCTTGAGGTATGCAGCGCTGAAATCTTTCAAATCTCACAGGCAACGTGACGGAATAAATACTTTGAGGCTGTGCGTCAAAAAATCCCGTATTGTGTGTATTTGTTGTTTTACTTCAAAATATTGTGCAGCAGTGTTTTTGTTTTTGTGACAGATTTAAAACTGTCCCCTCTGGTGACACCGTTTGAGGCGTAAACCTTTTGGATTTTGAATGTGGATCAAGCCACGGAGTCTATTTCTTGCTCTCATCCTCGTTGATCTTCACCTTCACTCTGTGCCAGGCGTTACTCAGTACGCCCCTCAGGTTCCAGATGGGAGGAATTGTGTCCGGCTGCATGTTGTAACTGTTGTCGACCGCCTTGCAGACTATCTCCAGCTCCTGGGCCTCAGGAGGAAGAGGAGCCGTTATCTCCCACAGCTTCCAAGCCCAGGCCCGTCCCAGTGGGGGCGAGGGTTCTGGCGCTTGTCCCGTCTCGCTGCTCCTCAGCTGGGCCACCTGCCACGTCTTTCCACCATCCAGAGAAACATCTACACGTACCACCTCTCTGCCCCCGCCACTCCAGGCGTAACCCTTCACCGTCAACTCGTTAACACTGCGATCAACCACAGTGCCGTCTGCTGGTGTGGTGATAGCCGACTGAATGGGCAGCTCTTGGATGGCCGGGGCAGACTTGAAGTCCACATTGTCCCAGTCGGTCCCAGGGGAGAAGCCCTTGTAGTCGTTCTGCTGCCAGTGGCTGCTGCTTTCTTCTGCACTCACTATGATCTTCCCTAGCCACTTAACGTTGCGCGCCCCCACTATGCCTGGAACCACAACCCGGACAGGGTACCCGTGGTCGGCAGGGAGATCCTCGCCGTTCATTTCGTAAGCCAGCAGCACATCACCTTCCTCACTAACTGCCTTGTTTAGAGGGATGGAAGCAGCGTAGGCAGTCCCGGTCGCGTCTTTGTCCAGTCCTTCAAAGTGAACATGGGATGCCCACTGGGCCACATCTGGCCTGTAACCCGCTGCCAGCAGCACATCCCTGAGCCTCGCACCGCTCCACGTAGCGTTACTGATCGCAGCGATGCCCCAGTTCAGTCCTTTCACCTGCTTGACCTTATTCATCTCAGAGCGGCGGTTACCGGCACACTGCAGCGTGGCAGTGACCGTGTGTTTGGGGAATCGAGTCTTCAGCTCTTCTAAAGACAGCGACAGCACTCCTCCGTGTAGCCCCGCCACGTGCAGCTCATATGAAGCCGGGTCCACCTGGGGAACTGGCAGGTGGTTTCTTTTGAAGAAGATAGCGGAGGGGGTGATGAAGCTGTCAGAGAGGATTTCAGGAGGTGGCTCAGCATTGAAGGGTTTGAGGCTGTTGATGCGCAGGACCGGGTGACGCTTAGGGTCGGAAGAGTAGGGGTCAGACGTCTGAACGGCCTGCTGCTTCTTCAGGTCTTCTGCACTCAGCTCACCGACCTTGTAGTAACCACATACACAAATGTTTTATTAGACCACACGGTACTAACTAGAGCTGTCACGTATTTTCAGCCAAACTTTTCTGTTCATCTCAAACGGTCTAAAATGACAAATCAAAAGGCAAAGAAAGACAAAGAGCTGTGTTTGTTTACAAGGAAACTCCACAGGAAAAACATCAGCAAAACATTTTTCTCACCGACCACTTGAGGGAGTGCCAGTATTTAGTTTACAAGCTGTCCTTAGTAAACAGCACGCATTAGAGCTTTTCATGTGTATTCAGTGGAATTTATTTAAGGATCAGTATAACGGACATCCACTGCTAAGAAGCTGCAATAGATTCACATTAACCTCCGTTTCTATTTCTGCAAAATACAGCAAACATTTTAATGTCTACAGAGGTGGGTAGTAACGAGTTACATTTACTCCGTTACATGTACTGAAGTAACTTTTTTGAGTAAATTGTACTAGTCAGTAGTTTTAATGAATCATACTTTTAATCTTACTTGAGCAGATTTTTTGAGAAAATCATTACTTTTCCTCGGTTACATTTGGATGCATTCATCATGCTACTTTTATTTATTTTATGCAATCATGATCTGTTAAGAGGTAGGCGGTCAGCTGGTCTAAAGTCTGCTAATGCAGATAAGTGCAGTGAAGCTACAAATACAAATATTGCTAGCAGCTAATATTTACAGATGAAAATGTAGTGCACAGTGCAGCGGGATACGTTGTGAAGTCAGTACATCAGGGAACTGTGCTAACTGTCTTTGAACTGTGCAGATCAAAGTCAAACCAGAAACTGCGTCTGTAAACTGTGATGCGTGTTTTCAACGGACAGACTGGGGAATCACCTTTGTTTCTCCTCCATATAAGTTTGGAGGTTTTGCAAGGGGAAGCGGTACACTGGGTTTGCTGCTTTTTTAAAAATTTCAAATGGAATTTGTATTGAGCTGTTTGGTGAAACTTGAAATGAAAATGCGCTGAAAACACTTTTACAAGGTTCTCCATTGTTAATATTCTACCAATAGTTCACTGAAAAGTTTTTTTCTGCCAGTTCAAGTCACTCGGAACAGAAATGTACCTATTCACAGACATAAAGTGCTTGTAGTCACTAGACATTTTATTTTTTGAGGATAACTTTGCAAGTCTTTTTTTGCAGTTTGGTTTCAACACAAACTTTACAGATAGACACAAAGTGAAGCTCGTCCTGACATTTTTCACTGCCATTTAGTTCAACCATCAACAGAAACCAGCAGCTGGCCCACCTTATACTCTGAGAGGATTTCCAGCACATGTTCCTGTTTGTGAACAGCATACAGCGCCCAAAAGGGTTCAAGGTCTCCACCTGCCGCCAACAAGATTTTATCCCCACCGGGGTGCATGGCCACAAACTCAGTGATGTCATAGACGCCACCTTTGTAAGTGACCCACACGCCATCTTGCAGAGAGCGGTGTCTGGTGACCTCTTCCTGGGTGAAAGTGGGGAGAGCTGAGGTCTTCTCTATGGTCTGCACTCTAATGGTGTTTGCCTGCTCAGCCTGCACCGGAGAGAAGAGAGGAAACATTTGTTCTGTGATCCATCAAAAAGGACAGGGAGGAAAAGGCTTTTATTTACCTTGAAAAAAAAATACATTTTACTTAGTAAAACCATTTGGATCCTTATTATTAGTGTTGTATCTGTACAGTAATAATTTGTCACTATTGGGCCTCTAGTCTTACTGGCTGTAACTGGCTGTGTGTATGTTCTCTTGTTTGCGCGTGCCTTCACCCTGTGGGCTGGTAGTGTTGATCCTGATGTGGGTATATTATAAATATTTTGCCTCCTCTAGGACACACACATAAGTCCTTTAATATTATACTGATACCATTTGAATAAAAAATGAGAAACTCACTGTTGAGCAGCTACAACAGAGCCAATTTTAAAATATGGTATGATAGACTGAAATTAAGTATAAAATGCAATACTGATCAGAGAAATGTTAAATTAGTTAATTAGTTGTTTATTATTCTGAGCGCCGGCCTACTCAATGATAGATCTGCATACTGCTTCCATTTTAATGCAGTCCTGTTATATAACACTTTCCCTGCTGCTTTCAGGCAGGAAAACACACTAAATAATAAAACAATTTTACATTGATTTTTATTTCCCCACCAGACCATTCTGCCAAACCAAACCACTGTGTAAAGGTCATAGACTTAATTGTGCTAACACTACATGTTGGCTCCATAGCCAGATGGCTTTTGTTTGTCATGCTTTACTCATTTACAGCTCTCTCACTCTCTCTCTCTCTCTCTCTCACTCTCTTGCTTCCCACTCTTCTAATCAGCTGACTATGGGCATTCACTCTTTAGTTACACCAAGCAGATTTTGCCACAGTCTCCATCGGACAATATAGTAGTTGCTGTCAAACTTTAAACATGTTCTCCACTCTGCTGCTGCCAGCTGTCATTTTTGTGCAAAATCACTGTGGCTTAATATACAATAAAATATAACTTTATTCACTTTATTTATTCACTTATAAATAAAGATAAAGTCTCTCCTGACTGAACCGCTACAAAGTCTTAAAATAGACATTTTTCAGCATCACTGTGTTACTTATTCACACTAATTTACAGGAGAGCTGCACTGCTGCTTGGAAAGGTTAATGTTTTCTACATGTGCATATGTGATAATTTTCCAGTATTTTCAGTGATGATCCATCTGTCATAACAGACAGGGATTGCACCATACACTCATGTGTTCCTCTCTATGGAAGTCTGACTTAAAAGATGACAATCTATGGCTAGAGGACATGTGAAACCTTTGCTGGCAAAAAAAACAAGCAAGCAAGTACATGAACTATAACAACTGAACCAAATGTGCTATCCACTTTAACATTATTCAGCTGTTTAAAAGAAGTTACCTAGTTACCAAACCTAATACAAACTCCCACAGTTAACAGCAGTGACTAATATTTACATCTGAAGAATAAAGCAACTAAGTTTTGCCATTTAAGTTGTAACATCATCCAACCTGAATCACGATATGACTTGAGGGTATGTTCCCCATGTCTCCACAACCTAACCGAGAGCAACCCATTCAAAATACTCTCCTCCATTAACTTCCATTTGAACGTTAACATGATCTTGAAAATAACTTGAATAGTTTCGCAGCTAAAGGAAAATAGGCAAATGTTGAAATCATTTTCCAGAACGTGTGGGAACCCTGATGAGAAATTCATTTGCCCTTCACTTTTATCTGTAAAGTGAGTCCTGTGACTTTTCTTTCTTTTCTCTGAAGAGGTGAAGCCTTCTGCTCAGCTTAAAATGTGTTTGCATATTGAGTCACATTAAATGTGGGAGTGAAAATTGAGAAAAAATGAGCTGACACTGCAGACCAACAGATGAGACAGGTCACTGCCTTCAAAAGGCCACAAAAGGGTGCGGCTAAAAAGGAATGCTTCAAATTCTCTCCCCCTAAGTGTAAGGTAATAAACTGTTTATACTGGCCAAATTATAAAACTTTTATAACTAAGATTGCAACATACACTGTACATTTACGGGGTGTTTTTCTAGATCAACACAATCCATTGTGAGGAACCGACCTTACAGACAAAGCGTGTGTGGGGCCAGTGAGTTGCCGAGCTGCATCTACATTTAATCTAAATTAATCTATTGATATTTGTTTTAATAATAAGATTTAAAAAATAAAAAGTGTCAAATGCCCATCAAAACTTGTCACAATCAAAGTTGTCTTTGTATTGTTAAAATACATAGTTTATATAATTTAGCCTTGGCACAACAGCTAATTAAACATTGACCGTCTTTACAGATCTCATCTCCTCCTGACCTTGTGGTGGTGGAGGCCATAAGCCAGCACAGCTCCTGTACCAGCCAGCAGTCCTGCCAGGGCATGTCTCCAGCTGGGGCCGTGGGTTCGCTGGTGTGATCTCTGGTCCTCACTGCTGCTCCAGAGACGAGCTGCACACGATGCCACGCCGGGTGCCACTTGATGCCTATGAAATTTAAAAGATATATATCTAAATGTAACTAAATAGGCAAAAGGTATAATACCTGTTATAAATGGGCATTTTGCTTCAGCACTGTACCTTTGAGTGTTGAGAGGGCCAAATCGAGTCAGGCTGTGGCAGCGTCTGAGAAGCAACATTGCACTGATGTTCTAATAGAGAAAAGATTTATGTCACAGTAAAAAAACACAAAGCATCGTGCAAAGACAGCTTGGATTTCTATTAACAAGTCTCTGAAGTTCCTTTATTTTGAAACATAACACAAAAAACACAGTGAAGTTCAAATGATTTATTTTTTCTTTCACCAAGCAGACTGAATGAACATGTTCCTGTATTACCCACAGTGGAAAGTTAAAGGTTAGTACACCAGCAGTGTGTTACATGCTCAAAACACATGCAGCCGTTGATTTCTAATTAAGCTCTCATGCTCTGGCCTCAGGATATGCCACTGCTCTGTTTCCCGGCACTGTCATGCTGCAACTTTTCAGAAAATCGCCATCTTATTTCATTCTCTCCACAGAGTGGCACATGCCAGCTACTGTACCTTGACTACATGGTCTGACTGTAGGACATGTTCGCTGTGCGTCCGGTTTATCTAGAGCAGCAGTTTCCAAAAATGTTTTGCTTGTATAATGAAACCATGTCTAAATATCTTAATAGAAAAAATAAGTGCTATAGCGATAATTATCATTATTGTTTTATTCCCCAGCCTTAGCAACAACCCTACTCCCCGTGAGGCTCACCTGCTGCTGCTGCTGCTGGAATTGCGGGTGAAAAAATCCAAAATGTGAGTTGTGTTTTTTGGGGCGACTTTATAAAACAAACTGCTGACGAATTAAGTCAACAGAGCAGAGAGATAAAGGGAGAGAGAAACAAAAAGAGGCGAGGTGTGGCAAGCTGGTGTGTGTGCAGTAAGAGGTGTAGGTGTGCGCAGTTCACTACTATTGTCACTGTGTGGGAAACGCTGTGCTATGTTTTACTGCAGTATAATGTCAGTTGGATTTTATGTGCATTTTAAAACAGCGCTCTCCAGTAGCCTGACTTTTTTATTTTGATATTTGTTTTAGAGGGAGGAATGGCAGTATTGGAGAAAATGTACAAATTATTTAACAGTTAGTGCTTTATTATGAGCATACAATTGAATGGACACCAGGAAGAATAGCCAATGCTTATGCTGGTGCTAACGGGGATCCTAATAAAGAAAGTAAGAAGAAAAGCATTTCCATTAAAGAAAAGTTTGTGTATTATGTCAAATTCAAGTTCTTAGAAAGATAGAAAATCAAAATCGGCACGTCAGACTTTTAAAAACTTGGAATCGGCCAAGAAAATTGCAATCTGTGCATCTCTAGTATTCCTGGAACGTTTTTCCTCTTTCTTATAGTCAATCATCTTGAGGCCCTTCCAACTGACCTTTTGACTCCATGCGTGTCCCAGACAAACCCAGCCTTCACAGCACAAAAAACATTTACCAGCATTTGGCTGGTGGTTAATGTTTTTCCTATCCATATCACATTACATAACTGTTGAAGAATTCAGCAGCTTCATATCCTTATGTCACATTGCCACGTGTTTAAAATGAGCACTGAATCAGAATGTACAGTCGGTCTGACAAGAGGAATGTGCAAACTGTACTACAAGTTAAGATAAGCTTGCAAAGACATGTAACTGCCCTGCTGAATACAGGTTTTGTCAGAGAGTGTCTACGTCTAACAAACAGTGTTTTTTCATTATAGATCAATGAACCTGCTCTCTCTTTACTGCCATCATGTGTTCCTGTTAAGATGACCAACTGAATCTTTAAACTGTCCGCCTCCTACTGAACCGACCAACCGGCTCAGGGGGAGTGAACGGCTGAGCTTCATGTCCCTCTTCTCTAACCACAGAAATGTTACAGCTACAGTAAACAGTTTGTCCAGCGTACGTTTAAGAATCTAACTGAAAAATATAATTTAGCAGGACTTAATCTTCTTCTGTTGACCATACCTTGACGTTTTGACAATAGGGAATAAAGTTGTGAGTCAGTAATGACTCCAGCCTGAATAAATGAGAGGACGAAATGTCTCCAACCTTTAGAAAACATCTTTGGGTAGGGCTGCTTTATAAAGAAAGATCTGTGACTGACTGGAAGGATAACGTATAAATATATCACTGTTACCTGGAGACCAAAAAGACCAAAATATAATTTCTGTGTTGCAAAAAAGAAATAAAGTGTTGCAAATTGCATGGTATTAAATAATTAATTGCAGGTTGCACCTAAAATGACAGATAGCATGTGGAGGAGCGCTGCTTTATCAATCAATTGCACCGGTCTTATCACTGACAGCCATGAAGATTAGTCCCGGTTATCAACCAGCTTTCACTGAGGCAGCGTGCCTGGCAGCAGCCAGGGCAGTGCTACTTAACCTCCGAGGATGAAATGGGAAGCTCTGACTGGTTTTCTATAGTCTCTCTGCAAACATGACTCAAGACTATGCAGGAATCATTCACCCGTGAAAGTTAGGGAGGGGTCAACATAGTTGAGAAAGGTTTTTAAACATACAACAATATGATACAAACAAACATAAACAATACCAGCTAGAGTGACTAGAGTAACCCCAATGTCCCAACTGAATTTAATCATAATACACCTGTAGGTCAGTCAGAGACTATATGAGGGCCACAAGATCCCACATTTAAAAAAAGACATTTCAGTTACATGAATTAATAGATATAACGACATTGAGGCTGAAGATTACTTTCACAACATCTGCAAATTATTTGCTGTCCTACAAGTCCTCTCTTCCAGTTAGCAGTGAGCCGCAGGAGTGGTAGCCTTGTAGGATCTGTGTCTCCATTAAGACACTGACAAATCACCAAAAGTCACTTTGTGGTTTGCTGTGCCTTAAGAAGTTATGTAACGTTACGCAGCAACATTAAATCTGACACTGTAGCGCCTTCTCATCCTCCTCCTCCTCATGGCTAACTTAGCTAACACTCAAGTAGCAAGCCTGCCACCTTTGCGACCTTACCGGCTCATTCACATCATGTTCATGAACAGTAGAATCGTTCGCGTCAGTTGTTCAGTTGTTAAACGAAACTATACTACTCACCTCTGCTGGGTCCGTCGCCGGCGTGATGCTCTCCTCGATGAACCGAAACAACTAAAACGTTGCACGGATCTGAAAACGTCACACAGACCGAGGTGCGTTCAAGACACCTAGTACTTCTGTATTTCTACCTCGTTATGGGGCAACCGACCAAAGTCTCTCTGCAGCCCACCACCCGTCCATAATAATTAGGTTCAATCAGACTGGAAACAACCATTTGGATGAGTTGTGCTTCAGTGGGTTTTTTTCAAGAAGAATAACTGAATTTATTGATGAACACTGACTACCAACAAATAAAACAACAAAGGCACTCTTTATAAAGGATTTCTAGTGATCAATGCTATTAAATCTTTTACTGACGCTTTATAGACCCGTTGATAAGCCGTTGACTTTTGGGTCCTCTAATTGGGACAACTTGACCACTTTACTTTCAGGAAAATGGCTGCGAACAAAATCAATTTATTAGCAATTAAAGAATATGCAGTTATTAATGTATTATCTACATTTTAACTGCATTGTTACCAAATACAAAGGATAAACACTGGCCAGAGGGATTTTTTTCACAGCATGCCTATAACCCCAAAATTTGTTGTTATTAATGACTCATGATTAATGAGGAATTACTAAGGAATTACTTGATGACCTGCTGTTAGCTACAACCCTCAGACCCTTAATAAATGCAGACTTATTAGAAAGTGGTACAAGTGTCCATATTTAAGGGGCCTCGGGAGCCCTTAAATTCCCACGTGTCAGTTGTCATGTGGTAATTTTATTTTGTTTGTTTGAGAGTATGCACCAATTAAAAGATGTACTACCATAGGTCTCCGTTTTGTACTTAAACTCTCTGAGCAAACCCTGAATGCACCTGAATTTACATGGTAAACAAGCAGAGGGGAAGAGCACTGGAGGTCTGCAGATAAGGGAATATTTAGGGCCTGAGCACTAAACGTGTGAAGTCCCTATTGAAACTGAAGGAATTATATTTCTTTCTTTCTCAAAAGTAACCTAAATTTTGGGGGCCTAAACATACTCGAAAACTCACCAAACTTTGCACATAATTCAGACGAGGCGAAAAACTTTGTATTTTATGGGTTTCGCGCATGGCCGTGGCAAAATGGCTCACTAGCGCCACCCACAGAGCAGCCCCCAGACTAAGTTTCACCGACTTATATGAAATTTCTGTGGTATGTACAAAAAGCCTCTTGGAGCCGTTGTCTAAACCCAAAAGGAATTCGGCCATTTTGGATTTAATGGTCGTTTTTGGTGATTTACACACTTTGTACTAACGAACTCCTCAAAGGGATTTAGTCCGATCAACTTCAAATTTTTGCTAAACGCTAAATTACCAGTCAACCAGTTTGCCCGTGGTGTGCTGTCAAAAATCAATGATTAGCCCTGAAACAGGAAGTTGTTATAACTTCAGTATACATGCTGACATCTGGACCAAATTTGATATGTATATTAAGAGTCACGCCCTGAACACAGCCACATGCCAATATTCACTCAATGTCATAGCGCCACCTGCTGGCAACAGGCAATGACACGTTTTACACTGTAGTACTACTCCTAGCAGGTTGGACATATCAACTTCAAAACTGTCCCAGAAAACCCTTAACACATTGATGAGGCCATGATGTAAAACTTGTGAGTTTTCGGTTAACGGCGTGGCGGTCGCAAGGCGGTGAATCCCACGCTTTGCCATGACGTTAATTGTAACTTGACTGTACAAGCTCGAATCTGTACCAAATTTTACATGTTTAATAAGAGTCCCGCCCTGAACACATGTACATGCAGACATTCACCCACAATCATAGCGCCACCTGCTGGCAACAGGATATGACCTTTGACGAAGCAGCGCCCATGGCTCGTTTCATCTGTATGACATTTCTGTGGCAATTGTATCATGTCCATATGTACAAAAAAGCCTCTTGGAGCATGCCCTAAACTCAACAGGAAGTCGGCCATTTTGAATTTTATGGTCATTTTTGGATGATTTACAGGCTCCGTACTTTAACAAACTCCTCCTACAGAATTACTCTGACCGACTTCAGATTGTCACTGTCTACTCTAAACCCGTTGACGATTAAAAGTTGTACAAACAGTGAGTTTTTGTGGAACAGCGTCCCCATGGCGTGACGCCCAAAATCGAGGATTAACACCTTTGTGCAGCCTATGAAGCACGTGGCAACACCGGCAGAGCTCCAGAATCTGGAATGTAGCAGCCTCACACTTCGACGCGCTACACGTGCGAGGGCCCGCCTAACGCTGCTTGCAGCTTTAATGTTATGTATAAAATACAGAGGCTGTTGAGTTTTAAAAAGTTACAACAAACTTAATTCCAGTGTTTTTCTTCAAATGTAAAACTGCAGGATTTTAGGCCAGGCAATTGCATTAGAATGTTGATTAAACCATTGTTTGTATCCTCTTTGTAATGTGAAGAAAACTGACACCTCTTTGTCTATGAAGATTCTCAGTCATCCAGGTCATAGTTATCCAACGAGGGTTAAAATGAAGGGCAACTGGACTTGGTTGAAGATACTGGAAGACGTTTCGTCCCTTATCCAAAGGACTTCTTCAACAACAAACATAACATCAGGTGAAGATACCAACGATGGTCGTTCAGTCTTGGCCACAGGTAGTCTCAACGACTGTAACGACTGTCGTCACAACACCAAGGAACACTAACGAACCAGCGGTATCGATGACCCGGGATAACGACCCAACTGAGGTTAAATAGCTGAGTTTCCCTGCCAGTCAGTCAGAACTGAAGAAGTCCTTTGGATGAGGGACGAAACGTCTTCCAGTATCTTCAACCAAGTCCAGTTGCCCTTCATTTTAACCCTCGTTGGATAACTATGACCTGGATGACTGAGAATCTTCATAGACATCTTGCTAATCATTTTGGGATGAACACCCTCAGATTGGTACGGGAGTATGAAAGGACAGCCAGGAAAATTGCAGACTACAGGAACCACCTACGATTCAACCTGAGATGCCGACAACACAAACTTATTCCCAACAGCCTACACTTAGGCTCCACGGTAAAAGGACACAGAGCCGGAATAATCCTGGAGAAAGCACAACACCAGCTACTGAACGAGAGAGTGAGACAGATACACTTCACAATTGAAGCCCTGAACAAAGAAATGGACAACATACACCCCAAACTAGAAACATACCTGCCCAGTACAGCACTGGGAAAGGTCATGGACTTCATCACGAAAGCACAGCTATCTCAGCACAACAAGAGCAAAGAAAGACAGACCCGGAAATTCCAAAACCTACAGTCCAGAGCGAGCTGCACTAACAGAACAGGAGAATTGTCTTGGAGGAGAAAGGACAATAACCCCACAACACTTGAAACAGACAACAGATGGGTGAAAAACTTGTCAGATGGGGAACTCACCCAACCAGAGAAAGACGTTCTGGCCAAAGGATTAAACTTTGCCATTACACCACAGCAGCTACCAATAGTAGACCTCATCACAGCCACAGAATCAGCCATTAGGAAAAACAAATTAACAGAAACAGAAGCGGAACAGCTCAGACTAAAGGTATCTGCAGCCCTTTCTAATGCGAAGGCCCCCCCTTCCAACCTCACCATCCAAGAAAGGAAGGCTGTGACATCTCTGAGCAAGGATCAAAACATCACTATCCTACCTGCGGACAAAGGAAGATGCACGGTAGTACTTAACACAGCGGATTACCAGAACAAAGTCAACACACTACTAATGGACACAAACACGTATGAGACACTGAGACGAGACCCAACCAGCGGATACAAGAAGGCCATAGAATGTCTACAACAGTTACAGAAGGACAACACCATCACCCGTGAACAATATTACCGTTTGTATCCTGGAGAATCCATTCCATGCATTTATGGACTACCCAAGATTCACAAAGAAGGAGCCCCACTCAGGCCGATTATCAGCAGCATTAACTCGGTCACCTACAACATTGCCAAACACATTTCCACCATCTTAGCGCCATTGGTGGGAAACACGCCTCACCACATTCAAAACTCTATTGACTTTGTAAACAAAGTTCGAGGACTAAAACTGGATCCAGATGAAACCATGGTATCCTATGACGTGACTTCTTTGTTCACCTGCATCCCCACCATAGCAGCAGTAGAAACCGTTAGGAAACGGCTAACACAAGACAACACCCTGGACAACAGAACTAGCCTCAGCCCTGACCAAATCTGCAGATTACTCGACCTCTGTCTAAACACCACCTACTTCCAGTATAACGGTGGATTCTACAGACAGAAGCATGGCTGTGCCATGGGCTCACCGGTATCCCCGATTGTGGCCAACATCTACATGGAAGAAGTGGAGAGTAAAGCCCTCAACTCCTTCAGAGGAATAGCACCGAGCCACTGGTACAGATATGTGGACGACACCTGGGTCAAAATCAAAAGCCAGGAAGTGCAAGCCTTCACAGAACACATCAACTCTGTGGACAGTAACATCAGGTTCACACGAGAAGATGTTCACAACAACAGTTTGGCCTTCCTGGACTGCGCTGTTCACATTGAAGAGGACAGGAGCCTGCAGATTGGTGTTTACAGAAAACCCACACACACAGACCAATACCTACTCTTCGATTCACACCACCCACTGGAGCACAAGCTAGGGGTCATGAGAACACTGCATCACAGAGCAGAAAACATACCAACAAGCGCCCAAACCAGAGAGAAGGAACAGAACCACCTGAAGGGGGCACTTACAGCCTGTGGATACCCTAAATGGACCTTTGTGAAAACAGCCACAAGATCCAAGAAGAACAAAACTACAGGGGAGGAGGAAAAGAAGGTCAAACGCAACAACATTGTGATTCCATACGTGTCTGGAGTATCAGAGAAACTCAGGAGGATTTTTAACAAACATAACATCC